CTCCTCCCTGCTCACGTGCCAGCCCCTGCCCACTCCCCCATAGCCGGGGAGCCCCCTCCCACCCCGGGAGCACTCATCCCCCCCACTGTGAAGTGATCTAGTGGTCAAAGCCCCAGCCCTGAGCCGGCTGCAAAGCAAGCAAGGATCAGAGGGCGTGGCCGGTGCAGGGGCAGCAGGTTCCGGGGCTCCTGCCGAGCTAAGGACAATGGCTGTGGGGGAGGGGGAGAGAGCGCCCCTCCGCTGCTGGACACTGCAGGCCCCTGCGGTGGGGGCGGGCAGGGGGAGAGCGGCTGACCAGGGGCGGGTTCCCTGGGGCGAGAGCAGGGAGCAGAGACGCTTCGCTCCCTCTGCAGTCCTGGCTCCAAGCACGGACGCTCAGCGCAGTGACGGAGGGCGGAGGGCGGAGGGCGGAGGGTGGAGGGCGGAGGGCGGAGGGAGGCACAGGCCTCCAGCTTTGGTCCTGTGTCAAATGATTTTATAACATCCTTACCAATCCTCCAGTGTGTATTTCCGAACCCCACATTTTATTTCATTTATTTGAAAGGCAGAGAAAGAGAAAAAGAGAAAGAGAGGTCTCCATCTGCTGGTTCACTCCCCAGATGTCTGCAATGGCCAGAGCTGAGCCAGGCTGAAGCCAGGAGCCAGGAGCTTCATCCAGGTCTCCTGCATGGGTCAGGGGCCCAGGCACTTGGGCCATCTTCCACTGCTTTCCCATAAGCATTAGCAGGGAGCTGGGTGGGAATTGGAGCAGCCGGGATTTGAACTGGTGCACACATGGGATGCCAGCCCCAACTTATATCTTATTTAAAAAATCATAACTATAATATCATTATTATTACAGTTTTTTAAAAGACGAATTTCTTTTTATCATCCATTATCCTGTCAGAGTTCAAATTTCCAGTGACTCAGAGATGACTATTTCTTTTTTATACTTAAAAAAAAAAATCAAGTCTGGGGGCTGGTGCTGTGGTATAGCAGGTAAAGCCGCCGCCTGCAGTGCCGGCATCCCATATGGGCACCAGTTTGAGTCCCGGCTGCTCCACTTCCGATCCAGCTCTCTGCTGTGGCCTGGGAAGGCAGTAGAGGATGGCCCATGTCCTTAGGCCCCTGCACCTGTGTGGGAGACCTGGAAGAGACTCCTGGCTCCTGGCTTCGGATCTGCGCAGCTCCGACCATTGCGGCCATCTGGGGAGTGAGCTTTCTTGGGGGGAGGCTGGGGCCACCTGTCCATTAGCAGGACTGTGACTGGGAGTGCTGGGCTGCTCCCCGGGGGCGATTCCCAGACTTTGCTCCCCACAGGGGTCCTGTTCTTCCCCGGGCTCCTCACACAGAAGCCGCGTTCTGACTTCTTCCAAGGGGTGTCCGGGGCGTGAACAGCGGATGGCAGGACCCTCCCCGCCCCCCCGTTTCCCCCCCCACCCCATTACTCTGCCTTATAAATAAATAAATCCTGCTTTGAAAAATCAGCTCCACATGAGGTCTGAAGATTGTGATTGAGTCACTTCTGTTTCCTGTAACCAAAAGTCCCCCCCCCTCGCCGCCTCCCCGTTTCTTAAACATTGTAAACCCTACAACCAATTCGACCCAGCAGCTTCAAGGCTGAAGAAGAAAAACCGTGTATTCATTCTAGTCGACGCAGAAGAGGCATTTGACAGAACTCAGCGCCGACTCATGATAAACTCCCAACAGAGTCATCACCACCTTAAAAAAAAACTGGAAACGTAAAGTCAACATCGCACTCAACGGTGGAAATCTGAGTGTGTTAGCGTTATGCCAGGACGTGGAACAAGGCAAGGAGAGCCGCGCTCGCAGTTCACGGCAGCATCGCACTGGGGGCTGTGTGGTCGCAGTTAGGCAGGAAAAAACATTTTTACAAAGGCACTAAGGAGGTAAAGGGGGAGGGGGAGCAGCCGCAGCCACAGACAGCTTCGGTGTCTACAGAGAAAATCCTCCGGAGCCACAGAAATCGGATACTGTTAGCGAGTTTTACAAGGTTGCAAGTGCAAGCCCAGTATGCAAAACACAACTGTACAGACTCCATCCCCTGGAAAACGAGGCACCATTCCTCACTTAGGAAGGGTTTGAGGAGGGAGAGCCGCACCTGTAGGCTGAGAGCTGCAAACGCTGTTCAGACGTCTGAGCCCGTGCGGGACCTTTGTCCCCTCCACGGAAACCCAGGGCCTCCCTCCCACCTGGCGAAGACGCCCAGCTGCCCAGGGCTTCCTCTCTCTGGATGGAAGGCTCGGACCGCGGTGTCCAGGAAAACACGGGGCCCTGGGGTGGCCTCACCTGTGACCCTGAGAAACTCCATTTCTTCCAGCGCGGGGTGGTGGCCTCCGCCACACGATGCCATTGACTGTGGACCTGTCCCATGACGGTCACCTCGTGTCTCCCTCCCTGGTCCACCTGGAACCCTCGCCTGGAAACGCTGGCTCCTCTAGTCCATACATATTTTTTAAAGATTTATTTATTTGAAAGGCAGAGTTACAGAGAGGCAGAGGCATAGGTAGAGGCAGAGAGAAAGAGAGGGAGAGAGAGAGAGAGAGAGGTCTCCCATCTGCTGGTTCATTCCTCAAATGACCGCAATGGCCAGAGCTGAGCCGATCCAAAGCCAGGAGCCAGGAGCTTCCTCCGGGTCTCCCATGCAGGTGCAGGGGCCCAAGCACTTGGACCATCCTCCACTCCTTTCCCAGGCCATAGCAGAGAGCTGGATCAGAAGAGGAGCAGCCAGGACTCGAACTGGCACCCATGCGGGATTCCGGCACTGCAGGCGGTGGCTTTATCAGCTGCACCACAGTGCCAGCCCCTAGTCCATATGTTCTAAAGATACTCCAAACGAAGGAGCAGCCTGCTGAGACTCGGGGTTTGGGCTGCAGCCCAACCTCGGAGGTACACCACTGCTTGACACCAAGCCCTGAATTCACACAACAGAGGATTCTCTCACCACGTCGCTGGCTGTTTTAGCTCCTTTCCTACTGCTCATCAAATGTTTTATGTGTTTCTTTCTAATGCTAGGGGATTTAGGAAGACAAATATATATGGAGAGATATACCATGTTCATGAATTGATTGTCTTAAAGGGTTTATTGGTTTATTTGAAAGGCAGAGTTACAGAGAGAGAGGGAGAGGCAGAGAGACAGATCTTCCATCCACTGGTTCACTCCTTAAATGGCTGCAACAGCTGGGGCAGGACCAGGCCACAGCCAGGAGTTCATCCGGGTCTCCCACATGGGTGGCAGGGACCCAAGCACTTGGGCCATCTTCTGCTGATCTTTCTAGGAGCTGGACTGGAAGTGGAGCAGCCAGGGCTCAAACTGGAGCCTGCAGGGGAGCCAGCTCTACCTGCTGTGCCCAATGCCAGGCCCCCGCAGTTTGCAGAGGGGTGTGGCCTGTTCCAGTTTGAGTTTTTAAGCCCTCTCTGGCTGCTGGGGGCACAAGGGTTGGAGGGTAACTGGGGTAGGGGAGCCATGAGCGGGGAGATATGACAGGCGCTGGCCGGCTGGAGGGGCCTGGAGACGGGGGTGGGGGCAGGCTGGGTTTATTTAGATGAGACTGTCTCGGAGGCCTGTGCCTGTTTCCCTGCCCACTTAGCTGCGTTTCCTGAGATGCCAGCCAGAAGATGTGTCTGCTCTTGGCCTGGGCTCCCCCAGGTCAGGGAGCCCAGGTTCCACACCCCACTCTGGCCCCAGGCACTGTTCCACAGGGGCCAGCAGGAGGGACAGTGCGGGCAGCACTGGGCTGCTCCAGGGGCCCGGCCAGTCCGCCTTCGCCTGGCCCCCGCGAGCCGCACACCCCAGGCTCGGGGGCGGAGCTCCTGCTGGCATTTCTGGTCTGTTTTCTCTCAGCTGTGACCTCACTGCCCTCCGTGACCAGGGCCTGTGCGTCAGTCGGGCAGGAACAGATCCCCGGGCTGCAGCCTGTGCGGCTGGGGCTGGGATCTGGGCCCTTCCACCAGCCCAGCTCTCGCTGGGGCCTCAGAGACTGGAGCCCAGAGTGCTGTGTGGCCTCGGGACAGACACACACCCTCTCTGTGCTGCCAGCTCCTGCCTGCACACTGAGGGCCCTGACAGCTGCTGTGGTAGGGCTTTCACGAAGACAACACTGCAAGCGCTCCCTCCCCTGCGCCCGCCCGGCGGAGCTGCGGCGGGCGGCCGCCAAGCCCGCGCCACGGTGGCTGCTGGGTCCTTTCATGGCTGCTCCTCGCATGCCGCCTGCTGATGTGGGCCCAGAGCTGGGCCGAAGCCGGCAGCGGTCACGCAGCTCAGGCCCCCTCTGGCACCCGGCTCCACGTGGGTCCCCCTGCCATCGTGGGCCACACCCTGGCTTTGGGGACCCCAGGGGGACAGGCTCAGGAAGCTTGGAACTGCCCTGCCTGCTGCTTCTGGGGCCTGCAGACCACTGCGGGAAGATCCGGGCGTCCAGGACCCTCCCACGGCCAGACTGAGGTCACACCCCCAATTTCTTTTTACAAGCCTCAGTCTTCCCGGCTGTTCAGTGGGTCAGTAGCCAGCCAGTCTTATTCACTGGATGCCCTCGGGAGTTTGGGCCGGCGCCAGGCTCTGGGGAGAAGGTGAGGACCCGTACCGGGGTGTTTTAGTGCCGGCTCCACCCAGCTCTCCTCGCCTGCACGATGGGTTCAGGGGTAGGGGAGCCAGCGTGGGAGGAAGGGAGAGGCTTTGAAGGCTGAAACGCGTCCTCATTCCCACCCCGAAGACTTTGAACGCGTCCCAGGGGCGGGCAGCCAAGCCCCTGGAAGGAGCTGAGGTCAGCCCGCAGGTACCACGACTCCAGCCACCGCCCCAACGACCCCACAACGAGGCACAGTCCGCCCGCGGGCCGGAGCCCCGCGCCGTGCGCGCCCACACCCGCCGGTGCGCCCCGGGACGGAGTGGGGGTGGGGGCGGCCGGGGCACGGGGCGGAGCGAGCGCCGGGCCCCGCCCACCGCAGGTGGCCGCGAGCGCTGAGCGGCTGCCGGAGGGGGCCGGGTCCCGGGGCGGAGCCTGTCGCGCGCGCGCGCGCTTGTCCCCACGTGTCCCCTCTCCCCGGCCCTGCCCTCGGCCCCGTGTTTATAACCCGGGATGCGCGCCCCTGCCGGCCCTGCTCTGCCGCCAGCTGCCAGCGCCTTGGCCCTGGTAAGGAGCCCGCAGCCTCTCGCGCCCCCCACTCCCCAGCCTAGCACCCTCTCCCCGGGTCCCCGCGAGAGCGAACCCCGCGGGCGGAGGGGACGCCCCGGGCCGGGGCAGAGGCGGACCCCGCGTCGCTGAGCGCCCGAGGCTCTGTCCCGGAGCAAGGCGCCAGAGGCCGAATCCCTGGCCCCTCGGGCCTGGGGAGCTGCGGGGACAGGAGCCCAGGGACGCGGGGAGCAATCGGGTTATTTGTGGCTTGTGCGGGCCGGGGTCCCTTCTGGATTTTCCTCCTGCGACCCGGCTTCCAGGTCTCTGAGGGCCCCAGCGGCTCAGATGCGCGGTCCCGTGACCCCCGGCCACTCGCCCGTCTCAGCCGTGTGTATCGTTTTCACCTTAGCCTCACTGCGTCTTGAGTCGATGGGTCTACCCCGGCCGGCCGCCCCCCAGGTCCTGGGTATGCCTAGGCTCCCCTCCGTGCAGGGGGCGGCAGTGGCTGGCCTCTGTCCAGGGCGGGCAGTGGCCTCCCTGCCTGGCTTCCTGGGGCCCTGGCTGGCCTGTGGGAGGGACCCGCTGCAGGAAATGCCCGCCCTCGGGCTGACTCTCGTCTTTGGCCCCTCGTGCTGGCGGCCCAGCCCGAGGAAACTCCTCCCTGTCCTGCTTCTCCGAGCCCAGGCCGGCCCGAGCTCCGCGGTCCTCCCTGTGAAGCAGGGCGCCCGGCTGCAGGCCCCCCGGTGGGAGTGGACCTATCCCTTCCCCGCGGCCTTGAGCTTTGAGCCCTCCCCTCCCAGCTCACACCCAGGGACAGGTGGGGGCGGAGGAGCCCCCAGGTCAGTCTCCCAGGTCCGCAAGCTGCAGCCGCTCCCCTGTGGGAGCTGGCACCAGCTCAGGGGCCATCCCCGGAGGGCTGCCTTGCCCCGCCAGGCAGGAGATGCGGTGGGGAGGTGAGCGGGCCCTGCCCTCTTAGGTCTGGTGTGGGAGGGAGACGGTCGTGAAGGGAGCTGGGTGCCGGGTGGGGGCTCCAGCTCCCGGCGTCTCCTCCATCTTCCAGCCAGGGTGGAGGAGCCTGGGGTGGACAGGGTTCCTGGCCCTGGAGGAGCGCCCTGCGCACCCGCTGCCAGAGTGAATCACTGGTGATGCCTGGACTGGGCCAGGCACGGGCGTGGGGGAGGGGAGGACACCCCCCGGCAAGGATCAGCACCCCAAGCTCCCACACGTGCCCCCAGCAGCTTGGGGTCTGTGGGGTCAGTGGATGCACCTTGTGCTGGAGCCACCTGCTGCGCCAGCACTTCTCCACGGCTGGCTCAGCTCATCTTGGCCCCTCAGGGTCTGGGAGGACGGCCAGGTGCCTTCCCGTGTGCCCTGGGGGACTCCTCGCTGGAATTCAGGGTGGGGGCTCCGACCGCCTGGACAGAGCTGATCTTCCAGGGCCTGGCCCCTCTCTCCTGCGCAGCTGACCTTGGCAGGAGTGCGGTGGACGGATGAGCGAGCTCTTCTTTCACGCATAGTCAAGCGTTCCCAGGAGAGAGCTTATCGGGGTGTCTCTTAGTGGCCATAACCATCTACTGGCGCCCCCTGATGGTCAAAGTCTGGAACTGCAACTCAGCTCTATGGAACTCATAGAAGGGCAGGTGTATAGGGGTGAAATCTTAGCGCAAATCCCAAAGCAGGGGAGAATCTTTCTGCTCAGCTGCAGCCAGGTGTGTTTTTAAAGTATAATAAACTCCGCTCTGCTGAGTCAGGCTATCAGGGAGGAGCTCCGGTGGAACATTCCGCACAGGTGTAGCCTTGAGCCTGCTCTGTAGGGCGACAGGAGCTGTAAGTTCGTTGGGGTGACGCAACGGGATGTTCCTTGCCTGGAAGATGCACGACGTGAAAGGAGGTGGAGCGCAGTGGGGTGCACCCAGCAGGCGGCGGCCGTGAGCAGGGGGCGTGGCCATCTGCACCCCGAAATGCTGCACACGTGGCCCCAAACAAAACAGCTGCTCCTGCCTTTGCTACAGCGCTGACCTCACAGAGCCACGCACGCTCTCCGTGGCGCTGAGGGAGTGCCCGGGCTGCCTGGCACCCCCCCACACAGACAGTGCCCCCTGTCCTGCCAACAAGGGCCCCTCCCCTTCCGGCCTCCTGGCAGGTGTCTGGCTGCTGGTGAGGGAGTGTGGGCCGGCCTGGGAGGGGTGGCTGGGAACTCCCGCCCTGGCCCTTCCTGGGGGCGGGGGCGTGACGGGACGGGGGTGGGGGGCAGCTGAGTGCCCTCCGCCCAGGAAGGAAGCTGTGTTTCCTGAAGTGGCAGAACCAGAAAGGGCTTTTAGAGTCGTGTGCAGTTGGGAAAACCGAGGCTGAGGGAACGAGGCTTGGCTGCTGTCAGCCGTCCGTGGCCGTGGTCCGGAGCATTCGGTGGGCCCAGCCCCGGGCTCCATGCCCAGCTTCTCCCTGAGCCCCCACAGTGGCCCTGCGGGGCCATGGGCGCAGGGGAAGGGGTGAGAACAGGCCACTCCCGGTCCCCAGCCAGGCTGGAGAGCTCGGGCACCTCGAACCCGGGGCTGATGGGCTCAGGGGTGCCCGGCCTGCAGTGGGTTCTCGCTCACCAGGTGTAGCTGTGGGTCCTTCGCCCCTCTCCGCCCCCCAAGCAGCTCAGCTCTAGGGCCCTGGTGGCTGGGGGAGGGGCAGGCAGTGAGAAAGATGCCAGAGTCCCCTGTATCATTTCCCTGCCCACCTGCCTGCCAAGCTCTGGGTGCACACCAGCACATACGTGCCAGCCCAGCGTGCCACCAACACACACGTGTGCACACACACGTGCACTGTCTTAGGTGACACAGGCACATGAGCACTGTGTAGGCGCACACGCATGTGAACACCCCCAGGGGCACACAGGCACACACACCCCGCACAGCAGGCACACACACACACACACGCTCGAATGCACACACTCAATGCACACACACTTGAGTGCACACACACACACACACTAGAGCGTACACATTCCTTCCCACCCCTCCCCCAGCCCCGAGCACAGCCCAGCAGGCTGCAGGACCCAGCCCCCCTTTATCTGCAGACCTAGCATCGCTGAGTGCCCCCCACGTGTGTCCGGGAGACGTCCCCTCCCTCACAGCGCCCGCCATGGTGGGGACACGAGAAGGCAGTGTGCCGTGTGCCCCTAGGGCTCGGCACTAACCACTCACCAGCCGGCACGGCAGGCACTGAGGCAGGGCAGGGGCAGGTGGGCCAGCTGTCTGTCTGTCCGTCTGTCTGGCTCCAAGAAGCCGCCCCTGCTCCTGGCTCCTGTCCCCACCCTCTGGGCTCCAGGAGCCTTTGGGAGGGGAGAAGCAGCAGTAGCCCTAAGAACTGCGTAACCTGGCCCCTGCGGCTCCCAGACCACGCCTGGCCCCGCACTTCCCTTCCCTGGGCCTCTGAGGAAGGTGTGGCTTTGTACTGTGAGCAGGGATCGCGGAGCCCAACCGATCAGGGTTTAACTCCTGGCTCTGACCACGCACCTGCCGAGCAAGGCCTTGGGCAAGCTCCTTTGCCCAAGTCTTGGTTTCCTTGTCTATGAAATGGGAGCAGCCCCAGTGGAGGGGCGCGGCCTGAGCGGCGGGTGCCCCTTACCGGGTCGGCAGCGATGGTTTCCCAGGGGCGCTCGAGGGCCAGGGCCTGCTACGCTGGGCCCTCAAGAGTGCGCGCCTTTTACTGCGTGATAGTGCTACCTTAACAGAGCAGCTTTAAAAGTGCACCATGGGGGCCGGCGCCGCGGCTCACTAGGCTAATCCTCCACCTAGCGGTGCCGGCACACCAGGTTCTAGTCCCAGTCGGGGCGTCGGATTCTGTCCCGGTTGCCCCTCTTCCAGGCCAGCTCTCTGCTGTGGCCCGGGAGTGCACTGGAGGATGGCCCAAGTCCTTGGGCCCTGCACCCCATGGGAGACCAGGAGAAGTACCTGGCTCCTGCTGTCGGATCAGCGCGGTGCGCCGGCCGCGGTGGCCATTGGAGGGTGAACCAACGGCAAAAGGAAGACCTTTCTCTCTGTCTCTCTCTCTCACTGTCCACTCTGCCTGTCAAAAAAAAAAAAAAAAGTGCACCATGGGATACTCCCCCAGCACCGTCACGCCCCACACACAGCCTGCAGGCACCTGCGTTCCCCGAGTGCAGCCCAGGTGGCTCCCAGGGGACCTGGATGGCGGCAGAGGCCAAGTCCAGGGCCCCTGCCATTGCCCGGGCTGCCACGCCCAGCGGCTGACGTCAGCTTTGCTTCTGCAGCGTGCTTGGCCGAGCAGTGAAAACAGATTCTAGACTCGAGGAACCCGTACGTCTAACTCAGGTATGTCCCCGCGGAGTCCTTGCCATCGTTGGAGGCCAGTGGCCCAGCTACGGTTGCCATGGGTACTGCCTGCTGGCTCCAGGGTCAAGGCCTGCTGAGTCACCAGCAGTCCAGCCCTGCATCCAGGGACAGGGCCTGGTGGCTGGTTGAGTGCCCCATGGAGAGGAGAGCAGTGGGCACCGGTCATGGCCGGCCCCTGCCCCGGCTGCTCTGTCCCAGGAGCTGCTTCTCTCAGAGGTCATGTGACAGTAGCGGCCTGGCGCACCTGTCAGACGCACGGGGGTGGCACACTGGGGCCAGGTGTCCACAGAGGCGGGCATTGGGTCCAAGTCTGGCCCTGCTGCCTGCTGACCCACATCTTTCCCCTCTGCCCTGCGGGGTTGCAGCGACACCTGCACTCAGGACCACGCGACAGAGCTGGCGGGGCGGGCAAGAGGGCTGGGGAGAGCCTCCAGGGGCGGTGGCCACAGGGGCTGGGGGCGGGCTCCTCGGGCCTTCCAGAAGCTCCCCAGTAGCTGGGAAGGGGGGTACAGAGCTAGGGTACAGAGCTAGGCACCTGCTTCTGAGAAAGGACCCATGGGTGACACAGAGGCCCCGCCTCCTTCCCTTCTGGGGACAGGGGGACAGGGGATGGCTCTGTCTGTGTGTGGCCATGAAAGGGGCGTGTCAGCTGCCAGAGGCTCAGCGCCCAGGCCTCCACATTGCCTGCCCTCCGCACACCTCAAAGGTCCTCTCTAGGGGCGGGGCACTGGCTTCAAGCCACGCCCTCCCCTGCAGGCCCTAACTCTGCTGTGAGCTCCTGCCCTGGCCCAGGCTCTGGGGTGGGACGAGAGTACAGAGCGTGCAGGGTCAGGGTCCCTGGGCAGGGTGGGAGGGTGCTGGTCACATCCCCCCGCAGGCTGAGGCCGCCCAAGGCCAAAGCCGTGCAGCGGGGCAGGTCACTGTTGGCAGGGGGGGCAGGCAGGGACCCTGGCCTGGGTCTCACGGGCTCCTTCCACTCCCTGCAGACAAGATGGCTAGCAAAGGCTCCGTGGTCCTGGCCTACAGCGGCGGCCTGGACACCTCCTGCATCCTGGTGTGGCTGAAGGAGCAAGGCTATGATGTCATCGCCTACCTGGTGAGGAGGTGCCTGCGCGTCCCACTGCCTGCCAGCCTGTGCCGGGTGGCTCGCCTCACTCTCTGTGAGATGGCCGACCTGGAGATGCCTCCGGAGCTGGCGACAGCAGAGGGCGGGAGGCACGGAGGTGACCTTGGCCAGGTTGCTTGTCCGGCTGAAGGCTGTGGGCAGGCACACAACTCCCTGTCCAGAGTCCCCCACCAGCAAAGACTGTGGAGTCCTGGGCTGGCAGGGCCTGGGAGAGCCCTGGTTCCAGGATGGCCAATAGATCAGCGGTGGCAGGGCAGGTGCACTGCCCCCCATCCAGGGTCGCTGGCCGTGACCCCTAACCAAAGCAGCCCTGCTTCCCATGACCCTGGACACGGTCCCTGGATCTTTCTCCAGGGCTGTGCTCTTCCGGAAACACTGTTGCAAACCCCAGAAGTGAAGGCAAGCCAGCTTCAGCGGAAACAGCCCAGCGGTTCTCAGCTCACTCCCGGCAGAAGTCCGGGGCTGTGAGGGCCTCGGGCGAGCCTGGTGTGGGAGCTCACCCACGCCTGTGCCCAGTGCCCTCTGGCTTCCTTCATGGCCTCTGGGCAGGGCAGGCAAGACTGGCAGCAGGTCCACACTGGCCACCGTAGCCTGGCAGTCCCAGGGCTCTGCCGGCAGGGCCAGGGAGATGTCTCTGGCCTGAGCCCCTGCCCACGCTGCAGGAGCTGTTGTGGCCGTGTGAAGGCAGTAGGTGTGAGTCACCGGCTGCTCCTACGGCGAGCAGAAGGCGTGGTCTGCTCCCCTGCACCTCCGTGCAAAGAAGGTTCTGTGCCCAGAACTCAGCGTCCAGTCTCCTCGTCCAGGCCTGGGCGGGGGGCGCGGGGGTGAGTGCTTTGCTCCCAGTCACCTGGCGTGCGAGAGGCACAGCTCTGAGCCCCCATCTGGAGGGGCGGCCCCGGCCATGCAGACCTGGAAGATTTGAAAGCCGGGTACGGCCTCGGGCAAACACCTGCTGCCGGGCTCTGGGAAGATTCCAGTCTGGTGAGCAGAATGAAAGAAATAAGGGCCGTGGCCAGGGGCAGAGAGCATGCCAGCGTCCAGACAGGGCCTCTCTGCCCCCGCCCGCTCACATGCCCAGCCGGGGCCACGCCCCCCCCCCCCCCCCCCCCCGGCTGGGAAGCCAGCTGGAAGCAGTTGATTCGGGCTGACCTTTGCACTGGCTCAGGAGAATTTGCTGGAAGACATAGCTGGGGGCAGGAGACAGACCTGCAGTCAGTGAGGGAAACCGCTCGTCCCGTAGCCTGTGTGCCTGGGAAGCGGCCGGGCCAGCCCTTCCGCCCAGGGAAGCAGGACCCGCAGTCCAGCCCCAGGTGGGAGCTGGTGCAGGCACCCCGCCTCGCCAGACCCCCTCTGCCCTGCCTCCTCCTCTCTGGGCGCTGAGCAGCAAACAGAAGGCACGTCCGTCCCTTGGAGCTGCTGTGTGTGCAGGGCCTGGCCCAGGGCTCCCCCCAGGGGCCCACTTCCCCGCGAGCCCCGCTCTGTGCCCTCCCCGCCCCCGCGGCTGACGGGGCTCTCTGCTTCTGCTCCTCAGGCCAACATCGGCCAGAAGGAAGACTTCGAGGAGGCCAGGAAGAAGGCCCTGAAGCTCGGGGCCAAGAAGGTACCAAGTGGGCGGCGGGGTTGGGGCCAGACGCAGGCCTGGATCTGCGAGGGGCTCCGGGGCTCCTGTGTCGCCCACCGCAGCCTCCTGCCCCCAGTGTGACCCAGCCCTGCAGATGTGCATCGCCATCCTCTCCCTGCCCTCCTGGCCACTCTGCTACCCACTCCCCACCCACCTATCCCATCCCCATCCATCCACCCATTCACCCACCCACCCACCCACCCATCCATCCCTCCATGTATCCATCTGTCCATCCACCCATCCATCCACTCATCCATCCATCCATCTACCTGTCCACTCACCCATCCATCCACCCATCCATGTGTCCATCTGTCTGTCCATCCACTCATCCATCCACCCACTCATCAATTGGTGCATTCATATCTATCATCCCTCCCCCTCTTCATTTACCCATCCATCTGTCCATCTACCTACCCGTCCCTCCACCTGTTCACCCACCCAGCCATCTGTCCACTCACCCACCCGTTCATCTAGCCACCCACCCCTCCGTCCGTCCATCACCACTCAACGGAAGCAAACAGCTCCAGCTGAGCTCCGCGCACGGGTTCTGTGGCAGCCCGTGCTGGGTACAGCCCGGGAAATAGGATGGAGGGAGCCGACATGGCCCCACAGTGAAGCGTGTGACGTCCCCCTGGGGAAGTCACTGCCGCTCGTACCCCTCCCCACGGAGGAGTGAGCAGAGGCCACGGCAGGAGAGGGGGAAGGGTCAGCAGCCCCGCCTGGCCAGTCCCCGGAACTGAGCAGTCCTCTGCGAGCTCGCCAGGCCCGACAGCGTGCCGGGCACAGGTCAGCGCTCAGTGAGCCCTGGGAGTGGACGTGGGTCCCAAGTCACCCACTGGCCGTTGGCCTGGAATGAGCGGGTCCCCACCCAGTCTGGCGGTGGGGTGGGGGTGTGGTCTGAGCCCAGGAGGCGGGAAAGGCACCCTGAATGGTGAGGCAGGGGCGCTTCGTTCCGATCCAGCCGGATACGCAGGCCTCTGCGTGCTTAGTGACCCAGTGGTCATTTAAAAAGCATTTATCTGAGAGACAGGGGGGCAGAAAGAGCTGCCCTCCGCTGGTTCACCCCCCGAAGGCCCACCGCGGCCGGGGCGGGGCCAGCAGAAGCCCGGAGCCGGGAGCCCCGCCCAGGTCTCCCACGTGGGTGGCGGGCCCAGTCCTTGCACCAACGCTGCCCCTCCCAGGGTCTGCATTGGCAGGAAGCTGGTGTTGGAGCCGGGCTGGGGGGAAGCCCACGCGCCCCCCTATGGGACGCAGGCATCTTACTGGGGTCTTAACCACCAGGCCAAAGCCCCGCCCCTACTTGCAGTTTTTAGATTTATTTTTGTGCGTGTAGCGCTAGAATAGAGTCCCTATTGCTTTATTTTTAAATATCACCTTACATTTTTTATAATCTTAAAAAAGAGTTATAATGGACTTTCAAGAAGTTGCAGAAAGAAACCAAAAAAAAAAAATTTCCCTGTCTTAAAAATGCCCGAGGCCTCGTGAGAGCTGCTGGAATTCTATCCGCTGCTCCTCGTCACAGCCGAAGTCGCGGCTGAAAATCTTAAAAATATCAACTCACTTGAACAATGTGAGGGCACTTGGGAAAGTGTGTGGAGATTCATACTTAAGGATTTATTCATTTATTTGAAAGACAGAGTTAGAGAGAGAGAGAGAGAGAGAGAGAGAGAGAGAGAGAGAGGTCTTCCATCCTCTGGTTCACTCCCCAGATGGCCACAATAGGCAAAGCTGGGCCAGACCAAAGCCAGGAGCCAGGAGCTTCTTCCGGGTCTCCCATGTGGGTGCAGGGCCCAAGTACTTGGGCCATCCTCCACTGCTTTCCCAGGCCACAGCAGAGAGCTGGATCGGAAGTGGAGTGGCTGGGACTTGAACCAGCGCCCATTTGGGATTCCAGCACCTCAGGCAGAGGCTTAGCCCACCAGGCCACAGCGTCAGCTTGAGGGTTGAGATTCAGCACAAGGTCAGGCAGCCCTTGGTGGCCCTGGGGGATTAGTTCTGGAAACCGCCCCTCCCCCACTCCCACACAAGGTCCCGAAATCCGCAGATGCTCCCGTGCCTCCTACGAATCGGCGAGGCAGCTGCGTGGCTCCCGTGGCAGCCTGCCGGGCGCGTTAAGTCGCCTCTGGGTGACCTGTGCCACTGATCCCACAGTCAGTTCCACGTTGACAGCTGCTGTCCCGGGTGGTCAGGGACTGGTGACAAGGACAAAGCCTGGACATGCTCGCCACAGACCCTGGTCTTTGTCACTGGCTGTTTTCAGTCCATGCTTGGTTGATTGCACCAGATGTGGCCTCAGTTCTCTCCCTGTTCCATCACTACTGTTCCTTTTTATTATTATTATTATTTATTTATTTACTTGAAAGGCAGAGCAACAGGGGGACAGACAGAATTTTCCATCTGTTGGTTCACTTCCCAAATGGCTGCAACAGCCAGGTCTGGGCCAGGCCAAAGCCAGGAGCCAGGAGCTCCATCCGGGTCTCCCACGTGGGTGCAGGGGCCCAAGGCCTTGGGCCGTCACCTGCTGCTTCCCAGGTGCATTGGCAGAGAGCTGGATTGGAGTTGGAGCAGCTGGGACTCGAACCTGCACTCTGATCTGGGACGCAGGCGTGGGAAGCCACAGCTCAGCCCATCACACCAGCCCCCGGCCACGGCCACCCTGAGTGTGGCAGGCGCCGTGCGGGTGCGACGTGAAGCATCCGTGGCCGAGCCCAGCGTGGTTGTCTGCTCTGGGGTTGCAGAGGCACCGTCCCCACTGCCCCCTTGCTTTCGTGCCACGGTCGATGTGAAGGTCAATGTGAAGGTCGGCAGTGAGAGGCCGAGTGTCAGAGGACCCCTCCCTGAGGGGCCACGGGAGCCCCGGCCTCTGCATGTTGAGGACGCTGCTTGAGGTCGGGGCTGCCGGCCTCAGCACTGGCCCTCCCCCACAAGATGCCAGCACCACGTCCCCCAGCCTGGCAGGTGGGATGGCCCAAAGTGTCTCCAGATTTGGCCAAATGGAGTGTATCAGGATTGATTGGTAATGTCTAACGTGAGTGCAGGGGGAGAGTAACAGTGCGGTGTGCTGGAATCAACTAGCGATGGCTGCTGCAGTGGCAGGCAGAAGGGGAATGGGGGCGCCTGGCCTGAGCCCCGTCCCGGCCGAGACCCCGCTCACGGCCTCGTCCCCCCAGGTGTTCATCGAGGACGTCAGCAGGGAGTTCGTGGAGGAGTTTATCTGGCCGGCTGTGCAGGCTGGCGCCATGTATGAGGACCGCTACCTGCTGGGCACGTCCCTGGCCAGGCCCTGCATTGCCCGCAAGCAGGTGGAGATCGCCCAGCGCGAGGGCGCCAAGTACGTGTCTCACGGCGCCACCGGCAAGGTGAGGACAAGGACAAGGGGTGGGGCCTGGGCAGAGGGAGAGGGGGCGGGGCCTGTGAATGGATGGAGGCAGCCAGGGGGGTGGCCCTGGCGGTTCCAGGCTGGGGCCAAGATCCCAGCAGGAGGCTGGCGACGGCGACCCCAGCCCTCCACTGAGAGTCGCTAAGACTCGGACCTGTCTTTGGGGGTGCAGTGCAGCCCGAAGGAAAGCTGTGGGTGCGCCGCCCGCCAGGCCGTCCGTCCTCATGGCCCTGAGTTGTGAGTGCTTGGTTAGGGGGCCGGAACAGGACCTGGCTGCCAAGCCCTGCAGCAGTGCCGGGGGCTGGGGGGGGTGGAGGTGGTGAGGGGGGCCCAGGTCCTGGTGGAGGAGGTGTGTGATCTGGCAGCTGGGGGCCTGCAGACAGGAGCCGTGGGCAAGGGACCAAGGCAAGAGTGTGGACAGGGAACAGTGTGCCAGGCGGAGGGAACAGCCTGTGCAAAGGCCTAAAGACGAGAGGCCCTGAGCAGCTGTCTGGCTAGGAGCAGGAGCTGTGGCCGTGGGAGAAGCGGTGGGGCCAACGCGAGGCTGGGGCCAACAGGGGGGTTAGGGAGTGAGGCTGGACTGCAATGCTGGCTCCTTTGGAAGGAAGGAAGATCCGGCCAGGAGAGCAGGATCCCAGGTGGGAAAGGCACCATCAGGATTCAACGAGGCGCTGTCAGGGCTGGTGGAGGGAGTGGGTGGGTCTGGCGCTGGCCAGGGAGGCAGCCCCCCTGCAGCCTATGCCAACCCACCGAGGGCTGGGAGTAGCCGCCAGCGGTGTGCTGCTCCTCCACACGGCCACCAGAGGGCGCCAGAGGCCTGGGTTTGAGGCTTTCCTTGGGGAGGAGGTGGCTGGGCTGCCGTGGTGCCAGTCCTGGCTCTGCAGGATTAGGGTGCAGAGAACCCTTCTGCCAAGATCCCGCGGCCACTTGGGGCCCTGGGCTCATCCCGGAAGTTCACAGTCAGAGGCCCTTGAAGGAGGAAGTCTGACCTGAGACACAGTGAGGGATCTCTGAGAGCAGCGGGGGTGCCAGGCGCACTCCCGTGCCTCAGTTTCCCCTTATGACTGAACGCTGGAAGGCCCGGCAGCCCATGAACCAAGCCCACTGCACCCCCAAAGACAATTTCCAAGAACCGGGGGTGCCTGCGGGGGAGCACCGGGACGGCCTTGCCGCGTGGGTTCAGTGTCTGGTGGGCCGAGGGTTGGGCGCCAGTGGTCGCGGGTGGTGGGTGTCCTTTGTGTGGGTTCCATGATCAAGCAAGAGGGAGGCTGTGGGGCTGCAGGAGTCACGACCAGGGCTGGGCAGGCAGGAGGAGGGGCTGGGGCGTAAGCAGGTGACGGGGGGTGCGCCGGGGGCGGTTCTAGCTGGGGGGCCGGCCCTTCTGAGCATCTCCCCGGCCCCTGGCTCCTGATGCAGGCCGTGGGGGTCCTTGTTCCAGCCTCACTGACCTGCTGGCCTGGTAGAGGCGTGGGGCGGGGCTGAGGCCCAGGAGCCCAGCAGGGGCTCAGGGGGTAGATGGGGGGGAGTGCTGTAGGGGGAGGGGCGTGGGGCGGCCGGAGCAGCCCGCACAGACAGACACCAGCTGCGTTCAGCCCCTGCTGCCAGCCTGCTCCCTGCCCGCCCAGAAGCCGGGCTGAGCCCAGGTTTGGAAGAGGGGCCTGGAAACCCGGCACGGGTGCGGGGAGGCAGGGCTTGTGTCAGTGACGCCATCTGTATGGCTGTCTCGGGGGCAGATGGGAGACCGGGGGGTGCTGCTCCACTGCTGGGGGTCCCGGGGTTGGGGGAGAGCCACACGGGCCCCCGGCTCTGCCCCGGACAGGCTGAGCATGGGGGACCTGTGTGTGTGGCTTCTCAGAGGAGCTCCAGCTCCTGAACAGATGGGGGGTCCCCGTGGCAGCCTCGATGCCTTTGTGCTGGGGAAACCTGAAGCCGTGGTGGGGAGGAGAGGGGCTGACAGGACCCCGGGCGGTGAGTCTGCCAGTGAGAGCCGCTTGCTCCGGGCGTGGTGCGGCCCCTCCCCCCTGGTCCCCTTGTCCCCACGGCCGGGTGGTAGAAGGGCTCCTGAGCTCATCGGGGCAGTCAGCCAGCTGCCCGTGCGTGAACGGTCAGGATGGCCGTGTTTGCTGTGTGACCCCAGGCAAGTGGCCTCGCCTCTCTGAACTTCACCTTGTCGTCTGCAAAGCAGCTGGAAGTCCTGCGGCCCAAGGGGCAGCAGGCTTTGCTGTGTGCTCACGGAGGCGCCGTGTGCAGGGCGCAGGAGCTGGCTGACGAGGGACCCCCCACCCAGGCCCCAGGCGGCATCCGTGGGGCAGCCCGGACCCCCCCCCCCGCCCCCTCCGAGGCCCCCGGCTGCGCGGCGAGAGCCTGGAGCTGGGTTTCCGCGCCACCTGACAAGCTCTGGAAAATAACATGTTATTCTGCAGCCGCTGCCTGCGCCGCTCGCCCGTGCAGTTTTCACAGTAGGCGAAAGGTCGCTCTGTTATTTCCTCGCGGGGCCCCGCGCCGCCAGCCCGTGGGGAAGCGGGCAGGACGCGGCAGCAGCCTGGGCTGGGCTGGCCGGAGCCAGCAGCCTGCCTCCCCCTCCCGCTCCTCCTCCTCCTCAGCCCACGGCGGGGGGGTGCCGGGGGCCCGGGGATGAGCCCCCTCCTGCTCTGAGCTGAGACGCAAGGGGCCCCCTGTGGACTCCCGGCTCCATCTCCTCCCCCAGCTTGGCGGAGATGAGGCCGCCCCGGGACCAGGACCCCCGACCCGGTCTGTGGCGTGGGCGGCTCAGGGGCTGCCTGGAGAGGGCCCCCCAGGCCTCTCCCAGCTGGAGTCTCGGCTGTGGCCCCTGGGCAGACGTCCCCTGCACTGCCCGCAACACACGTGTGGCACTTGAACACACGGTGCACACACGTGATGGGACTCACATGCACACTCTGCATGGTGGACACACGTGCTGGCACACACCCACACACTGCACAGTGCACACACGTGATGACATGCGTGCACGCACATGATGGGACTCCCCGAGCAGTGCACACACATGATGGCACACGTACACTCCGCACAGTGCACACATATGATGACACACATGCACACATGTGATGGGGCCCACACAGGTTGCACTGTGCACACATATAACACACATGCACACTGCACTGCACACGTGTGGTGACGCGCACACACACTGTGTACTTGGCCACATGCCCACATACATGATCCTACTGCACACACCCCTCAATGTGCCAGCCCCGCCGAGGGGTCGCACCCCTGCACTCAGATGTGCTAACATCCTGGGCCCCCCCAGCTCACACCCCCCCCTGGACCGCACAGCAGTCAGGACACCCACAGCCTGGCACACGCGCTGGGCGCGTGGGGTCCTGCACGTGCCGCGTGCTCACGGGGATCGAGTCTTGGGGGCACTGCCGGGCGGGAGCTGGGCCCTCAGCCTCCACCGGAGCCCCGGCTGGAGCTGCCCGGCGGCAGCGGGGTCCCTGGGGGTGCTCAAGCAGCCTCAGCCCCGTGGCCCTGACCGGCCCCGTCTGTTGCAGGGGAATGACCAGGTCCGCTTCGAGCTCACCTGCTACTCGCTGGCGCCCCAGATCAAGGTGAGACGCAGCTGCCTCCCTGGGGAGGGGTCGGGGGGCGGCCCCGGGAGGAGCCACCGCGGGTTGTAGGAGGATCTACAGGACAGGGACGGTGCCCACGGTGCCCGTGGACAGCGCGGGCTCCGATCTACGGGGCTCCTACATCTCACACCAGCCCTGGGGCGGCCACGTCCTGCCTGCCCTTTCGTTCTTCCTGGAGGTGTGGTCCAGGGGCCTGCCCTTGGCCTTCCTGGCCGCAGGCTGGCACGGCGCTGGCACTGGCCACCGATTTCTGAGCCCCTCGCAGCCACCAAGCTGTGCCCTGAATCCTGCCTGGCTGCCCCGTCTCACACCGGGTCCTGGACAGGGAATCACCCACGGCCCTGTCCTGCCAGCCACCGCCCCGCCCCTGCGCCTGCCCGTGGGCCTGGGCCTGGTCCACCCAGCCGGCCAGCCACTCCTCCAGTGTCTACTGTGGGGGCGTCAGGCCGGGGCTCCTGGGCCAGAGTGGAGTGGAGCGAGGAAAGGCCAGCCCTGTGGGCCATTTCTGATTCCTCTGATAGCCACGTCTCAGTCCCTGCGTCTCTTACTCAACACCTGCGCCCAAGATGCACCCGTCCACCTAGGGAGCCGGAGTGAGGCCACGCCCCCCAGCCTCCTGCCCGCCCAGACTCTGGTGGGCGCCTGGCGGTGGGGGTCTCCACAGTGGCAGCCAGCGCAGACCTGGATTTGATCCTCTTTGCAGCCACTTTGGCTAAAGCTGCCGAGGGTCTGCTCCCTCGTGGAACCCCAGGGGGCTCTGGGGGTCTCCATTTTTCCCCTTTAAGCGGACGATCTGTTGGTGCCTGGGGGTGTGCGTGGCTGAGCTCTGAGGTCTGTCGGGACCCCGCCCACCAGGCCGCTGGGAGGCGCTGCAGAGCGGCCGCTTGGCGACTGGCCCCCGGGCCTGCCCTCCTCTGGTTCCCACCGCAGCGTTGGGGGCCAGGGTGTCCAGTTTCTGGGCCTTTGTCTGCACCCGCCAAGCCCCGAGGGCTGAGAGGGGCTGGGGGCAGGAGCCGGCAGAGGGGACGGGGACAGGGTGTGCCCAGTGCTGAGCCTGGCCTGGGGGCTGAACACCGCCCCCACCCCGGGGTGCCCTACCCCAGCCCGCCTGCCTACTGCTGGGGCCTGCCTGTCTCCCTGGGTGGGGGCGGGCGTGGGGGCTCCTCTCAGGGACCCATCCCCGCCCCTCTCTGGCCAGCTGGCCCCAAGTGGAGTGAGTGCGGTCCCTGCCAGGCTCTGTCCGACTCCCTGGGGTAGCTGGGGCGGGGGCGGGGTGGGTCACCTCTGGACCCCACCGCCCACCAGCAGTGGCCTTGAGGCCCGAAGGGGACACAGCCGCTCTGCCCGGGAGCGCCGCCCCCACGGGACAGGCTCCATTCTCCCCCGTGTAACGGGGACTCCAGGCCGCACGTCATGGACCCCATCCTCTCGGAGGGACAGGGGCCAGCTGTGCCGTGAAAGGTCCAGGGGGAGCCGGCAGCTCTGCCCGCCCCGGTCCTGACCTCTGCCCTGTGCCTAGGTCATTGCTCCCTGGAGGATGCCCGAGTTTTACAACCGGTTCCAGGGCCGCAGCGACCTGATGGACTACGCCAAGGTAGGCCACGCCTTCCCCCACCCTGCCCGCGTCCTGGGCTGGGCACTCCCGGGGGGGGGTCCCGCTCCTCCAGCCCCTGTTCCCTGGTGGGGGTGGGGTTCCCCGCACTCCCCCGTGCCCGCCCAGTTGCTTTCCGGGGAGCAGGTAGGCGCTCGGAGGGGCCTGCAGTGGACAAAGCCGTCGGTGGCGGCAGCCCCTGTTGAGGTACAAGTTGCAATAAAACACATTAGAAGTTTTGCATCAAGAGTCGGAGCCGCTCCCCGGGGCACCTTTCTTTTTAGCGACTCCATGGCAGCTCTTGACAAACAGCCTCAATCAATCAGACGGAGGAAGGCGGCCCGGTGCACACACCAGAAAATTGCTCAGGTTTCTAAATAGCAGGCGCCGCGGCTGGCTGTGCGCGCGCTCGCGGCCGGCCGAGAGGTGCCGCGTGGTGGGGGACGCGCCCTGCCCCTGCAGCCAGCATCCCATTAGGGCCGGGAGCGCTGGGAGGAAGGACTTTCTCCACCATCTGTTGTTTGATTATTAAGGGGGGAATTTACAAGGGCAAGACCATATGTTGCCAAACAAATTGTCAAGGAGCAGAGCTATTAAGGGAGCTGGGGCTGGCTAGCCCCCCACCCCCACCCGACGTCTCCTCGATGACACGGAATGGGGCGTGCGTCTCGTTTTTAAGAAAAATGGTTCGTGAGCGCTGCCCCGTCCACCCTCACGCCTCCAGTCGGGCCGCCACGCCTTGGTCTCCACTCGGTTCCACGGCGCTGGCTTTCCCAGCAGCCACCACTGCCTTGTGGCCTGCCCCGCCCTGATCTGGGGGACAAGCGCTTAGCTGTCCCCAGGAATAACCTGTCCAGCAGGGAGCGCTGCCCCCTGGGCTGCCCTCCCTCTTTCTGGAGGTGGGGCAGGGGGAGGTCCAGAATGAGTTGTGGGCGATCCTACACGTTCTGGGGAGGGAGGGGTGGCAGGGCACCCAGGACATGTCCAGGATACCAGAGCAGCCTCAGGCTTTGTCCCACGTTCAGAGCCCCGCGGGGGCTGAGACGGGAGGCAGAACCCAACAAGGCTCGCAGAACCCTGCTCTCGACACCCAGAGGTGGCCGAAGCCAAAGGCCGCTCGGGCAGGTGCCATGTTACCCCCAAACCCATCGCCCAAGGCAGGCACACTCAGAACCTCTCCCTCCTGTTGCCCCTGGAAGTCATTTTTAAAAAACAAAACAAACCAAGCCGGAACCCCAAGGCGAGGCCAGGCGCGGGGACCAGAGCACCCTCCGTGCGTGCAGGGCGGGGGGTCCCGGGCACAGGGGCTTGGCCACCTCTTCAGGCTGAGGACTGTCCCTGCCGCTGTCCCATTTGCCCTGCCCCTCCCCTCCTCACCTCTCCATGCCACTAGGTGGGCAGAGAGAGGGCAGAGCTGACCCCACACTGCCCCCAAATCAGAGGCAGCTGCGGGGAACCTGGCGGGCTCTCGACCCCCACACCAAGCCCCTCCCCTGGAAATTCCGTGTCCGGATTTGCCCACGAGGTTCAAGTGGAAGCGTGGACAAATTATAGAGTGGACAGCGACTTACGAGTCAGGTCTCCTGGCAAAGCCTAAAGACCACAGTTCCATGCCGACATGGAACTGGAGCCCAGGCCGGCCCAGGTGCTCCACCCCCTGCCGAGTGCAGTGAGTGGCCCGCCCCCCGCTGGCAGCATCTCCCAGGCCAGCCTCCTCTCTCCGGCTCCAGCGCTCACTCCCAGAACCATTAGGACCCCGGGGTGGGGGGCCTCCTCCTAAGATTGCATGAAGAGACCACGGTGGCTTCCTGGAGGCTGAGTAGGGGGCCTCCGATGACGGCGTCCACCGGCCTGTAGCCCGAGGTCACGGTGGAAACCTGTGTTCCCCCTCAACGGAGCAGTGGTCCCTCTGGGACTCAGAGTGCCACTGGGCCCCAAGCCACTGGGGCTGGGGCTGCCTGGGGTGCTCCTGCCGCAGGGTATGTGAGTGACGCCAGGCCCAGGGAGGGGCGGCTCCCGGGGCTGCCAGCCACGTGATGCTGGACAGCGTGGCGGGGGCCCCTGCCGTCACCTGGCCCTGGGTCCTCGGTGGGAGCTCAGGCCGTCCTAGCGTCCAGCTGACGGGCTCGTGGTAGGAGTTAGTGAGCTGGTTCAGGGACACGCTCAGCACTGTGTGCACTCGTAGAATGTTCTAGAAGGAACCTCTGAGAGCGCTGTCCTCCAGATGCATGATCTTACAGTTTCTACATGCTTATGTCCGTCAGTGAGACCCTCACTCCCTCCCCGGGGCAGGCTAGCCAGGGGCAGGAGTGGGGCGGAGTCTGGGGCAGTCGCCACCTTGAGAGCCCCTCACGGCTGCCCTGTGTTGTCTCTCACCTGCAGCAACACGGAATCCCCATCCCGGTCACCCCCAAGAACCCGTGGAGCATGGATGAGAACCTCATGCACATCAGGTGGGTCAGCCCCACGAGTGCACCCCCGCCGCGGCCCCGCCCTGTGGGGGCGGAGAGGCCCCCAGCTCCGTCTGCCCTCACTGCCCCTCTGCCTGGTGGCGTGAGGGGCCTCAGCCAGGCCACGGGGAGCAGGCGCCCCACGGGTGGAGCCCCGGGGTGGACGGCTTCTGCCGTAGCCAGCAGGATGGGCAGGAAAGGGCTGGTGGCAGTCGCTTGGGCAAAGAGGAAAAAACCACTGAGACCGCGGGCCCAGCAGGACGTGGCGGGGGTGGGTGGCCTGGCTGTGGCCCCCATATACTGACCCCCGCCCCCTTCCTTCTCCCGACATAGCTACGAGGCTGGAATCCTGGAGAACCCCAAGGTAACTGCGCGTCCCCCTCCGTCTTTGCTGGTAGCTGCTCCCTGCCAACGCTGTCCTAGGCACTGGGAGCCTAATTTGAAATTTCACGGGGCGGGCTCAGAGCTGGGTGGGAGCCCTGCCTGTATCCCGCCCCTCCCCACCCAGCCCCCTCTTTTCCTAATTGCTGCTGGATGAAGGGGAAGGAGGTTTTTTGAGGGCAGCAGAGAGAGAGTGTGTGTGTGATTGTGAGACAATAAAGAAGTAATTAGGCAGATGAGACACTTGTGGGTGGGCCTGGCCTGCGATGGGGGGCGGGGGAGGGAGTCAGAGCCCCAGGACCCGAGCTGGGCCCTCAGCCCTGTTTGAAGTTTAGGGTTTCTCTCTCCGGGGGGTTTCTTTGTGTCTCCCCCTGCCCACCGTGAGTGGGGGAGCGAAATCTATCACCGAAGAGAAAAATCTCTTTGTCCCCGAGGGAGGGACTGTGTCCCCCTGGCCCAGCCCTACCCACCCCGGGGTGGCTGCTTCTGGGGATCCCAGAAGAGCAGCTGGATAGGAGGAGGTGCGGGGGTGCGGGCGAGGGTAGAGCAGGCCGGAGCCCTGCACGGGACCCCAGGTTGGTCCCCCGGGGTCTGGTGCCTCAGACTTTCACCGACGTGGGCGGCCCAGGCCGTGCCAGCCTGAGTTCCAGCCAGCGCTTCTGGGGGGCTTGGCCTTGGGTGTGGGCTGCGGGGGGCGGGGACCAGTGCCCAGCCCAGGGTGCCGGCTGCCCTGCACTGCCCTGCGGGGTCCAAGCGAGCGACCGTGGAACGTGGCACTCGGGACAGCGGCACCCTTGCCCCCCGGGGGCTGCCGCCTGCTGGCCACAGGTTTTTCCAGTTCACGCTCTGCTGACCCCGAGACACTTAGGCCAGCCCCTCCTAATTAGCCAGTCAGTCAGCACCGAGGGGGGCCGCGCGGCCAGGCAGGGGGCCCACTCCCCACGCCTCTCCAGGCAGCCAAGGCCCTCCCGTCACCAGACAGAAGGAACCCCGGGAAGGGGCAGGCCGGGGAGCCGAGCAGAGTGGAGGCGGGAGGACATCCTGAGACTGCTGTGGGCAGGTCCGGCCCCTCCAAGGCCTCCTGCCTGATGAGGGCCCGGGCTGGCCCACACCCTCTGTCCATCTTGCTTCCTGTTGCTGTGCAAGCTTGGGCACGTTACTCAGCCCCTCTGAGCCTTGTGTGCCAGGTGGCAAGGCCCCCTCCTCAGGCTGAGATCCTTAGAGGACCCCTCAAGGACCCCGCTCCTTCTCAGACAGGCTGGGCGGGGCTGGGTGCGAGTGGAGGGGGCACCCAGGGCCCAGCCGCCCTGGCAAGCCTGGCCACAGGGACCCTCGCGGGGGGCCCAAGCTGGGGGCTGCACGCCAGGACCCCCCGGCCGCCGTGGCCACAGCAACATCTCTGCCCTGCTCTCGTGTGCGTGGACCCATCCAGTGGAGCCGGTGCCCCTCCCCCTCTCCCAAAAAAGCCCCCCGGCCTGCGGAAGGGAGGGCTTCAAGGCAGATGGCTGGGCCATTTTCTGCCTCCATGAGGGCTGATTGAAGGGCAATGAGGCAGCTAATGCGAAGAAAGATAGACATTTACTTGCTTTAACTTCATACGGCCGCAGTGAAAGAGTTCATTCAGGCGCCGGCCCGCCAGAGATGCTGGGTGAATGAGCCCCGCGCGGCATCGATCATGCCTGCACATCATGGTTTAGCGCATGGGCCATTTGCTGCCAATTTCTCCTTCTCCGGCCCTGTTTCATGCTTTCTTTTGCCCTCCCCCCCCCCACTCTCTCTCTCTCTCTCTCTCTCTCTCTCTTTCTTCGCTCGCCCCTCCCTGCGGCAGCGCCGCCCCCCCCCCCCCCCAATGACATTGGAAGTGAGCCCTCCTGCTGGGAGGGAAAAATAGATGGCATTGATACTCACCAACAAACTATTTGTCATTTGAACTGGGCTTTTAGGAGAGAGAGTAAAAAAGAAGGCAGGCGCCCAGGCCACCTCGGAATGCAAAGCAAATGTCATTTTATTTTTATTTAGTTATGTTATTTAATCGCTGCCGCAAGGTGCCCACCACCCAGCCGGGGAGGGGGGGCTGTCTTCCCAATGCACACCTCCTCCTGCTTGGCTCTGCAGGTGGAGGTGGGCCTGGGTGAGGTGAGGGCGGGGACCCCAGCGCTGGGGCCCTGGCTTGAGTGAGACCTGGGCTGGGGCAGTCCCGGGTGGGTCGGGAGAGGACGGTGGCAGCGTTGTCCCCAGCCTGCTGGAGGCCCACCCCTGCTCTTTTTGCCCTCTGTCTGTGCCCGGGGAAAGTGGCTTCCCAGAGCCCATGAGACCAGAGGAGCCTGCTGTTTCCCAGAAACCAGCCCAGATGCCCACCCCAAGCTTACGGTGCCACCTCTCTCCCACCCCAAGCCTCTCACTGGCCCCCAGCCTGGGCTCCATAGCAGCTGAGACAGGAAGGGGTCGGGAAGAGGACCGAGTCGGACCTCTGCCCAGTGCCTTGGTTTTCCTCCTGGTACACAGGGCCATCAGGCCTGGGATCAGTAAGACCTCTGCTGGCCCACGGCCGCAGGAAGCAGGTGGCCCAGCCGCACAGCTGTTGGAGGTGAGGCTCACCTGCGGGCCCTGTCTGAGCTCAGCAGAGCTCCAGGCACCTGCTGTCCCGGGCGCCAGCACAGCCCCACACTGCGTGCACCCTGCCTGGCGTTTTCACATCCAGAAACAAACTGCCTGTGCACTTACACTCTAAGCCCGTCAAGGGCAAGTCTCAAGTCCCCCATTTCACAGGTGGGAAAACTGAGGCTCGAGGAGGTAAGGCAGCCTGCCCAAAGCCCCACCGGCTGAGACCCTGACTCCTGGCTCGGGGGTATTTTCCTTCACACCCAAAGTCCCACACCTCCGAGGGCACTTTAAAAAGTGTGTAAAAAATGAAATTGAAAGATAACACCAGTGAAATCCTCGCGTGGTTTCTTCAGTAGCATTATTCTCCCGTGAGCTTTTTGAAAACCCTGCCCACGTGTCCCGGCGCTGGGCGACAGACGGGGAGTAAGACACACAGATCCCGGCCTACAGGGAACTTGCGCCTTGCAAGCCAGCCCACTCCTCAGCCTCGACTTCCTCATCTGTAGATGGGGCTCAAGGCGCTCGGGCCGCCGAGAACCCAGAAGCAGCTGTGGGGGAAAGTGAGGTGGGGACGTGCCCACCAAGGGACGATTTCAGGGCCTGCGGTTCCCAGGGTGTCGGCAGGTGGACGGAACAGCTGGCCTCGGGATGCCCGCAGCAGGGACCCGAGCAGTCAGGCCCCAGAGGCCCCCAGCCCCACGGTGGCAAGTGTCCAAGCCACAGCCTGGGGGAGCGGGGGAGGCGCACAGCAGCCCCCCGCCACCGCGCCGAGGCGAGAGGCCCATTTCCCAACACGCTCCAGAAAGAAAATGTGCATAAAGGTTGATGTGTTTTCAAATGGGTTTTTGCTTTCCTCTTCTCTTTTCTTCCTGTGAGTATTAACCTCGGACACCCGGGGGACGGCTCTGCTCGCCAGAGCACCTGCTGGGGTCACGCGCAGTCATTAGCTTTGCAGAATAAACCCCAATTCCCGGCGCGGGCGAGAGCGAGCGGGCCTCCCTCGCCCCTCCAAAGTCCCACTTCCTCCTGCCTGACTTGTTCCTCTCCCGCTATTCTACCCCCAGCTGTGGGGGCGTCGAAGAGAAAGATGAGATCAAGTTGAGGGGAAAAATTGTCTGATTTCTCCAGCCCTTTGTTTCCCAGGGCCCTGGCAAGCGGGGGCCGGCTCCGGGCTGGGGGCTGGTGGGGAGGCGCCCGCCGCCGTGGCTGGGTCCTGCGGGGCCGAGGGGTGCGGGGCGTCCTGGCCCGGGTCTGGACACCCCGCGCTGCTAACCTCCTGCCGTCTCTCCACAGAACCAAGCACCTCCAGGGCTCTACACCAAGACCGAGGACCCAGCTAAAGCCCCCAACAGCCCCGACGTCCTTGAGATCGAGTTCAAGAAAGGTACGTGCCCTCCTCGCAGCCCCCGGCGTCCTGCCTGGGAGCCTCGGGCCTCTGGAGCCCAGACCCGGGCAGGGGCTGCACGGGCCCCCAGGAACCCGCTTGCCCGGAGCACTCAGCGCCGAGCGAGGCGCACGCTCTCGGCTGCCCGACGTGCGGGCCCCGGGCACCAGGTCTGGACTGCAGGTGCTCCAGTCCTCTGAGCAGCCAGCAGGGAGTCATTCCACTTTCTCAAGCCTCCATCTCCTCCGTCGAATTGGGGTGAGGGTCGAGGACCTGCTGTGTTTCCGGTGCAGAGTGAGGTGTGCCTGGGAAGACCCAGCCCCAGTAACCCCCTCTGATCCACATCTGGGACCTTAGCTGCCTCGCCGCCCCCACCCTCCAGTCCAAAGCTGCCCCCCTCTCCTCTCCTTGGTGCTGGGGAGCACCCTGGTCTCCCCCCATCCTCACTGCTCTCAACATGAAGTATTTGCAGGCCTGGCCCGGGTGCCCAGCCGTCTCTCATCCCAGGGGAAGGTGGGAAGGCGCCTGCCTGGTCGGAGTTGAGGGCCCTGGGGACCCAGGAAGGCTACAGAGATCAGGGAGGCTTCCTGGAGGAGGAGGTGTTGGGCAGGAGCTGGAGGAGCCAAGAAGGGGGCACAAGGGCATCGCAGGCCTGGACATCCACAAAGCAGTTTCCTGCATGGGTGCAGGGAGACAGCGGGAGGGCCCTGCAGCGTGGCCTTCCCAGGATGCCCAGGGCAAGAGCAGGCCGGTGTGGGACGCAGAGGCTCGAACCCCTCTCCCCCTGGCCGGGGCGACCTCGACAGCACCTTCGCCCCTAGAGCTCCTAAAACAGGTGCCGGCTCTCCGAGCTTCACCAACGCGCCTCTTCCAGGCCTTTCCAGGAGCCCGGCCAAGCCAGCGGGCATCCCCACCGTGCCCCTCGATCGGCTGCCCCCCTCGGGTTTCCTGCCAGCCGGGGGCAGCTGGAGCCCAAGCCCAGCTCATGCCCACTCTGCCCTGCGCGCCCCAGAGAGACAGGGACCAAGCAAGCAGCCCCTCCCCGCCTCCCGGGCAGGCAGAGCCGGGCGGGTAGGGGAGGGGGCCACAGGCGGCGGAGGGTCCCGGGCACAAGGCTGCAGCAGCCTTCTCCGGGGACCGGGCAGAAGAGGCGTCCATTGTGATGATCCGGGGATTGTGTGGAAGGGAAAAGACGGGCGGCCCCTCCCCTGCCTAGCCCCCCATTCACTCTCTAGTTAATTTATTTGAAGTTTTAATCTAATTATTAACTATTTTAAAGGCTAAGAGGCTTTCTCCGGGCAGGCCCCGTCCGAGGCCCATAATAGGGGCCGGGCAGGGAGAGAGAAAGGGAGCGGGCAGGGGCGGGGGGGTGGCGAGAGGGGCTTAAGGTTCATTATTGGGCAGACTTACATTTAATAGCAATTTACAACCAAGTTATAAAACCCCTGGAAATGGGGGTTAAGAATGGCGCGGCTGACAGCACCTTCAGCACAGCCCTCCGAGCGGCGCCCGGCTAATAAAGACTGGAAGGCGGCTATTGAAGCCTGATTGGCACCCGGTGGCTCCCTACATGGTAATGAGCCGGGCAGATGGGTGGGGATTAGTCTCCAACTTTGAACAGCTTTTCTTTGTCACTGTTACGGCTCTCTTGTTAGCCCCTAATACATTTATTGCTCATTTCACACCGCTCCCTATTCAAAGTCAGCCCCGAACCCACCCACCAGCCCCCCCCACCGCGCTGCCACCCCCTCATTCCCCCCCCCCGCCGGCGCCTCTCCGGGCCCTGCTGCCACCCCAGACCCCGCTTCTCAGGATCCACGCCCGGCCCAGGGCTGCGTGTGGAGCCGGGGTTTGGGGTGCACCTGACAGACGTGGGGGGGGGCGGGGCTGAGTGTGCGCGCGCGCCCCGGCCAGGCGGCCCGGGCGACTGGTGGACAGAAGGTATTCCTGCCTAAGACAATGGTGGAGCGTGAAATTGAATTAGTTCAGGGCCTGGTTCCAATTTCACAGCCCCTAAATGCAAAGGGGGCCAGGAGAATGGGAGGGTGGGGGAGAGCGTTTTTATTGCATTTCCCCTTTCATTCTGCGGGCTCGCTCGCCCCTTCCCTCCCCCCAGCAGGCCTCAACCTGCTCCGGGCTTTTGAAGGAGTCCCAGCGACTCCATATCTGTCACATCCATTTAAGGCATTGCGGGGCGGTGGGAGAGGGCGGGGCGGGGCGGCGGGAGCCCAGCCCGAGGCCCAGCGCCCTCTCCTCCTGCCCTAGGGGTCCCCGTGAAGGTGACCAACGTCAAGGACGGCACCACGCACCAAACCTCCCTGGAGCTCTTCACCTACTTGAATGAAGTCGCGTGAGTGCCCGCGGCACTGCTGGGCCTCCCGGGTGGGCGCTCCTGCACCCCTGCCATCCAGGGTGCCCGCCCCCTAGACCCTGACCCCCTGGGCCGAGGCCTCAACTCTGCAGGAGGGGCCCTGGGGTCCTTGTCAGCCTTGGAAGAGAATAACTCCAGGAGCTCAGCCGCCTCCCCGGGCAGAGCCGGGCGACCCAGAGAGAAGGGAGGAGGAACGTGGCTGGGGCCAGGCAAGGCCCCAGGACAGAGCTAACCGAAGGGAGCAAACCAGGAAATCCTTTCTCTAGCTGGGCCTCAGTGTCCCCACCTGTACAATGGGTACACGGTGCAGGTGACCTGGCTTGGATGTCCTCTCAGAGTTGGAGCCCGAGGTGGAACCTAGCGCCCTGCTCTGTGGCTCTGGGAGGGGCGCAGCCTGCAGCCAGGAGCCCAGCTGGGTGGGTGGCGGCTGTGACCCCAAGCCTGGTGGCAACGCCTGAACCTCAGTGACCGTTTGTCCTTAGGGGCAAGCACGGCGTGGGCCGTATCGACATCGTGGAGAACCGCTTCATCGGGATGAAGTCCCGAGGTGAGTGGGCTCAGCCCCGCCCCGGTCGCCCGGGACCCCCACCCACTCACACACTGCGTGCTGCGTGCAGGGCCTCGGGCGAGGCCTCTTCCCCCACCAGACTGCTGTGTCCTCTCCATGACGGGAGAGACCACGACCTGGCCGCTGGCTTGTGAGGTTTCACATGGGGAGCTGTGGCAGGGCCGGGGCTCTGAGAGGGACTCGGGAGCGGGGAGCCAGGGCCAGGCTAGAGGACACTGGGTGGCTTCTGCTGGGTTTGGAGGCAGAGCAGGGACAGACGGATGAGTGGATGGATGGGCTGATGGATGGATACATGGAGGGATGGATAGACGGATGGGTGGATGGATGGACGGGATGGGTGGGTGGATGGATGGATGGGATGGGTGGGTGGATGGGTGAGTGGACAGGTGGATGGATGGATGATTGGATGGATGGATGGATGGACAGACGGACACATGGATAGATGGATAGACGGGTGGGTGGATGGATGGGATGGGTGGGTGGATGGGTGAGTGGATGGGTGGATGGATGGACAGACGGACACATGGAGGGATGGATAGACGGATGGGTGGATGGGTGGATGGGATGGATGGGATGGGTGGGTGGATGGGTGAGTGGACAGGTGGATGGATGGATAGATGGATGGATGGATGGATGATTGGATGGATGGATGGATGGATGGACAGACGGACACATGGATAGATGGATGGGTGGATGGATGGGTGGGTGAATGGGTGGATGGGTTGATGGACAGATGGATACATGGAGGGATGGATGGGTGGATGGACAGAGAGATAAAAGAGGAATGGGCAGATGGGAGAAGGGAGGCGGATGGATGGGGATGGGATAGGTGGGTGGGGAGTGGGTAGCAGAGTGGCCAGGAGGGCAGGGAGAGGATGGCGATGCACATCTGCAGGGCTGGGTCACACTGGGGGCAGGAGGCTGCGGTGGGCGACACAGGAGCCCCGGAGCCCCTTGCAGATCCAGGCCTGCGTCTGGCCCCAACCCCGCCGCCCACTTGGTACCTTCTTGGCCCCGAGCTTCAGGGCCTTCTTCCTGGCCTCCTCGAAGTCTTCCTTCTGGCCGATGTTGGCCTGAGGAGCAGAAGCAGAGAGCCCCGTCAGCCGCGGGGGCGGGGAGGGCACAGAGTGGGGCTCGCAGGGAAGTGGGCCCCTGGGGGGAGCCCTGGGCCAGGCCCTGCACACACAGCAGCTCCAAGGGACGGACGTGCCTTCTGTTTGCTGCTCAGCGCCCAGAGAGGAGGAGGCAGGGCAAAGCGGGGATCTGGTCGGGGGTGCACCCTGTGTGCCGGCGGGGCCTTGGGCACAGGCCCTTTCTCCAGGGACAGCTGGGACCTTCCTCTGCTGTGTCCTGTAGGCCACCTGGCCCTGTACCCACCTCTGCTGGGCCTGGGGCGGGGAAACGGGGGCCGGTCCCCAGGCAGGCACCTCCGTCTTCTCCGGGCAACCGGTCCCTCAGCCACACCACGCTCTGGGCCTCGGTTTCCCTGCCTGGCCTACAAGGGAACCTCAGGAGTCCAAGGGTCTTGCAGCGTGGGAAAAGCAAGGCTGGGTTCTTGGCGGGTGGTGGTGGGGTGCAGGGAGGGAGAGGGCAAGGTCCCTGCAGTGAGAGCCCCTGGGTCGGGCCCTTGAACTTCTGAACTCTGGTGCTCCGGGCGGGGTCTCTGCCCTGCTTGGGGCCGATTTGGAGCGACAGCCCAATACAGCTCAGCTGAGTGTAGCTCAGCCCTTGGTCCTAGAGGAGAGTTTCGCTTTAAGATTTGTGTATTTAAGTGGCAGAGGGAAGGGACAGACATACTTCTATCTGCTGGTTCAGTCCCCAGATGGCTATAACGGGAGCTCCGTCCCCATCTCCCACAGGGCACTGGGGCCGCCTTCTGCTGCCTCCCGGGCACGTTAGTAGGAGCTGGACAGGAAGTGGAGCAGCTGGGACTAGAATGGGCGCTCCGATCTGGGAGTGTGGGCGCCTGCTGCATCCTCTGTCCCACAACCCCGGCCCCTTCCCAGTGTTTTTATGAAGATTCTGAAATCCAAGGTCACCAGATGTCACCTGTTGGTCTGGGAGGTCTGCCCTGCTGGGCCTCGCGACCTTGGACTTGTCACCTGTGTCCCCAGGTGTGATGTGATGTGGCCTCTTTGGAATTATCTGGATATGGGGGGGGGGGGGCTTGCAGCCGCTCTGCCTCCTTCCTGGGGCTCTTTCCTCCTCCACTATTGTCCTGACTAACAACAGGACTGAAAGCCCGGGAAGGCCTCTCGGAGAACAATAATGCTAATTACCTTCCCTTTATCCCGGCCTACCTCTGTCTCTTACCTACACCAAGGTCTGACTCAATGCGCCTTTGTCCCCTGCCCTTGGGAGTCAGCACAATGAGCCCTCCCAGACTGGGAGGCAGGGCCTGGTCGGAGGGCCTGGAGAGGAGGCCAAGAGCAGGGTCTCCGGAGAGGGCTGACCCCAGGTGTGCACCCCCCACCCCTAGGAGGCAGCCTGCTGGTCCAGCGCTTGTCCAGCCTTCTCCCCGTCCAGGCAGACAGTGCTAGGTGATTGCGGCTGGCTGCTGGCAGGCATTCCCAGTCGATCAGGGCGGCTGGTGTGGCGAATGTCAAGTGCTCGCCTCTTCAAAGAGCAGGGTCAGCGTGGGAAAGAGCACCCCGCTGGGCGGGCAGGTAGTGATGAAGGCCTGGCCTGCGCTGTCTGGGTGGACATCCTGGAAGAGGTGGCGGCCTCACATGGAACAGAGAGGGTAGGGTGGGACCATTCTGTGGGGCGGGGCAGAACGGTAGGGGGCACCCCAGGCGACCTATTGGATCTGGAGGAGGCTGGCCCTGGGGGCACTGGGGAGGAGCTGGCGTCAGGGTCCAGGCTTTGCCCGCCCTGAGCCTCAACAGCCCCACCTGTGAAATGGGTGGTTGTGTGGATCGAATGCTAAGTCTGCATGGTGGACTTGCTGCCTGTGTCTCAGTCCCGAGCTGAGAAAGGCAGAGCCATGACAGCCCCACCTGCTCCGATCCCGTGGCCTCCCCGCCCCGCGGGATGAGGCTGCTGGAGCCCCTCTTCTCTGTGCCCAGTGCTGTGTGTGCCTCCAGGTGCTGTCCCTAAAGACCTGGAGTTTAGTTGGAGTTCCGCAGTCTTTGGGAAAGGACTTGCTGTGGGCCATCAGGTGGGCTCTTTTCCCTCTCTGGGCACCAGCTGTTCCAACTGCTCGTTCTGCCGCCTGGGCTGGGTGGTGAGGGGAGAAAGCAGCCCGGTGAATTGCCCTACTCCAAATATCTGGCTGTGAGAGGGAGGGCGGAGGTCGGGGGTGCTCTGGTCCGCCTCCGTCACTTGCACTGATTTTACAGAGCTCGTAATTGGACGGCAAGGAGGGCTTGTTGCTGTCTGGGGAGGGGGGGAGGGGACAGGGCGTTGGGCAGCGTCGGGCAGGGCCCTGGGTCCAGAGTGGCCTGGTCGGGGGCACCGGGGGCCGTGGGGTCAGGGTCCGGGGCTGCAGAAGCTGCAGATGGAGTGGCTTTTGCGGTATTGTGGCTGTTGCCGCATTGTCATTATCACATTATCTTTTTAACGCTGGAGGGGGGCTAATTAAGTGGAGTAAATGAACTCAGTGGGAGGAGAAGGGGGGCTGCTCGGCTCCCGCGCGCGTCCTTGTCCTTCCACTCACCTTCCCTCTCGGCCCCACACTGGCCAGCTCTCCTCCCTCCCTGCCCGCCTCACCTCTGCCTCCTCCGGCCTTGCTCCCTGCTCCTCTCTGTTTCTCCGCCCCCTCCCCATCTCTCCCTTCCTCCTCCACTTTCTTAGGAGTTAGGAACCGGGGCTGCCCGTCACCACCTGTCCTACCTGCCCACACACCTGGCCAGTCCTGCCAAACCTCTGTTCAGATGGAACCTTCCAGATGGAGACCCATGTAGCGGAGGGGCCCTCAGGCCCGCAGGCCTGGGGTGGCAGCTCCGAGGTCCTCTCTGACTTCCCGGGACAGGGCCTGCTGGGCTGAGGATGGCGAGAGGCCGGCCCTGACTCGCCTCCCCATCACCATGGCAACCGCCTCCAGCCTTGGCCCTGGTACCTAAGACGGGAGCCTTTGGGCTCCGGCCAACCTCCCTCCTGCAGGTTCTTTCTCTGGTTCCTGCCTTCCTGGAGGCCCAGAGCCACCGGTCCAGGCGGCCCCCCGGCCGAGTTGGCGGATCCCACCCGGTTCCCACTCGGTTCAGGTCGCCGGGGAACAAGATGAGAAGAATTTAAGCCATCACAGCTGTGGGCCCCGCCCCTTCCTCCGCGGTCCTCGCCCGCTCCCGCGGTAATTGCGGTGTGATTGAAGCGGCTCGTGGAGCCCTGGCTGACACGCTGTCTTTTTCCTGTAAACACGAGGAGATGAAAATAGACACTCGGAGCTGCTGTGCGTGTCACTCGGAGATGTCTTGTCTCCTCCACAGCGGCACAGAGACGCAGCTGTCACCTCCTCCTTCTCTTGGCTCAGTGGTTTGTGTGCCGACTGTCAAAAGCCCTGAATCCAGTCTTTCAGCATCAGGTTTCTGTCATCCGCTTCTTTTAAGTCCTCTACTCAAGAGGAGATACACAGAAACCCTCTACCCCTACCCTGTGGAGAGAGGGAGGATCCTTAAAACACACGCATACACGCACACACACGGACACATGTGTGGGCACACACCTGCCTGCATGTGTGCACCACGCCCATGTACAATATGGGTGTGTGTATTCCTGCACGTGTGTGAACACACATGCCCTGCACCCTATGCACATGGTGCAAAAACACACGTTTGCACGCCTGTGCGCATGCACAGACACATGGCAGCAGCGACATGAACACAGCTTTACGTTCCAACACAACCTTAACTCTCGTGAGAACAGGATCAGGGGCTGTAGATGTGGGCTGTGTTTCGTGGCTTTTCTTCTTACTGGGGAACCTTCTGCAGTGCCCAGAGGGTGGACAACCACGAGGCGGTTCCCTGCCCCGGGAACTGAGGCCTGGGCCTTGTTTGTGCGTGAACCTGGAGGCGGTGGGGGGACATTCTCCTCTCGGAGCCACACTGAGGACAACAGCCATACCTCGTTCCAGGTGACTGTGCCAAAGCCCTCGAGTGGCAAGCTGGGGCTGCGACAGAGGCCCGGGGATTGGCCGCGTCCCCCTTCTAGTTGGTGGGGTGACCTTGGGCAAGCCGATCCCTTCCACAGGTCTCAGTCTTGCCGTCTGTAAAATCGGCGTGTTGGTATTGAAGGACTGCTCGGTAGAGCCCAGGGTTTGCCTCGGCTCTCTCCTCGGTGCAGGGCTCCCGTCTGTCTGAGGGTCAGGCTTGCAGCTAAAAGGGCAGAGCACTGTGTCCAGGGCGCTTCCCACGGGCGCTAACGCGGCTGCGTCCCAGACTTGCAGATCCAAGCCTGGAGGGGTTCCCAGAGGAGGAGGCCCCTGGTGAATGACAGACTTCACCTACCCCGGGTCTCGGTGGGGCTACAGGGCCAAAAGCAATCTCCATTCTGGTTTGGGTTTTTAGAGCTTTTTTTTTTTTTTTTTGATAGGCAGAGTGGACAGTGAGAGAGAGAGACAGAGAGAAAGGTCTTCCTTTTGCCGTTGGTTCACCCTCCAATGGCTGCCGCGGCCGGCGCGCTGCGGCCAGCGCACCGCGCCGATCCGATGGCAGGAGCCAAGTGCTTCTCCTGGTCTCCCATGGGGTGCAGGGCCCAAGCACTTGGGCCATCCTCCACTGCACTCCCGGGCCACAGCAGAGAGCTGGCCTGGAAGAGGGGCAACCGGGACAGAATCCGGCACTGTGACCGGGACTAGAACCTGGTGTGCCGGTGCCGCAGGCGGAGGATTAGCCTAGTGAGCCGCGACGCCGGCCTAGAGCATTTTTTTTTTAATTGTGGTCAAAGATATTGTGATGTACACATCGTCACCGTGGCTAAGTGTGCCGTTCGGTGGCACTCAAAAGATGGTCATTGCAGGGAGGCCGTCGCCACCACCCGGCCACAAAGCATTTTCATCTTGCAAAACTGAAACTGCACCCCCTCAGAGTGCTTGTCCCCCCCCAGCCCCGGCACCCTCTCCTCTATCTCCGACTCTGAATCTAACTACTCAGGGGACCTACAGAAGTCCCTTTAAAATTTTTTTAAACTTTTTTGAGAGGCAGAGTTACCAAGATGGAGATCTTCCAGCCGCTGGTTCACTCCCCCAAATGGCTGCAATGGCCAGAGCAGGGCCAGGCTGAAGCCAGGAGCCAGGAGCTTCTTCCAGGTCTCCCATGTGGGTGCAGGGGCCCAAGCACTTGAGCCATCTTCCACTGCTTTCCCAGGTGCCTTAGCAGGAAATTGGATCAAAAGTGAGGCAGCCAGGAATCGACTGGTGCCCATGTGGGATGTGGTGTTGCAGGCAATGGCTTAACCCGATTCGCCACAGCGCTGGCCCCACCCAGTCCCTTTTGTGACCAGCTTCCCCCACACAGCAAGTCCTCAAGGTCCACCACATTGTGATGTCTTCATGTATCTTCGTGGTTTTTTTTTTAATTATTTTTATTTCATTTGAGAGGCAGAGACAGAGCCCGTATCCACTGATTCACTCCCCAGACGCCCACAGCAGCCAGGGCTAGGTCAGGGCCAGGGCCAGGAGCAGAACCGAGGTCTCCCCGTGAGTGGCAGGAACCCACTCGTTTGCGCCACCCTGCTGCCTCCAGGGCCCGGCGCAGCAGGGAGCTGGAATCGGGCGCAGAGATGGAAGTTGAATCCACAGGCTCCTGGTGTGGGTCTTAAGCGCTCGTGGCTCCACCCACCTCAAGGCCGGGTAACAGTCCACTATGGCGGGTGCCCACGTCCTGCACCAGGCCCCTCTGGATGGACACGTGGGTCGCTTCACCTTTTGGCTCTCGCGGATGGTGCCCTGGAGACACAGGTGTGCTTTCTGATCTGTTGGTTTCTTAGCTGCCAGCATGGAAAGACAGTCCTGGTCTGTTTTCAGGATCACAGGAAGAGAACCAAAAACCTGCCAGCTGACACTCAGCGTTCCCTCGTTCCAGCTGCAGGCTGGGGCACGCGGGGGCCGGGCCCGGGTGGGCGTGGGCACCCTCCCTCCTGGCCCTTCAGCACCCTCGCCTGCCGGTCCTCTGAGAGGGACCAGGCTTGGCCCAGGGCCGGCATCTCTCCAACACCAGCCGGTCTGAGCAGATTGTTTGCGGGGGGGCGGGGGGGTAGCAAAAGCCCCTCCTTCACCTTCTGGGTTTGGGCCTCCGTGGGCTGCAGACAGCACTGGTCAGCGACTCAGCGGGCTTGGGGCAGTTCCCAGCATCCCCTGGGACACATCCCCATCCCTGAGATGCTCCCAGCGTCAGCCCAGGTGATGACCCAACCCCAGCCCCACCCTGCGCGGTCTCTGCAGAGACACGGCTGCCGGTGGGGCAGGGAGGGACCACCGCCAAAGGCAGCACGCGTGCACACACGTGTACACCCATGTGCATGTGTGTGCACGGCCGCCCCCTCCCCCAGCTCCCCGGAGGGAGGGAGGAAGGGATATTTGGGGCCTGGGATCCACCGAAGTCGGTTTAATTACAGGTTTTCAGCCGCGGGCCGGTGGGCATGCACCGGGGAGGGGCGGGCCGCTCGGAAACCCTGTCATTTTCCGGCGTTGGAGGGCCTCTTCAAAGGGGGCATCTAGACATTTTCCCCGCAAGCCGCAGAGTGGACTGTCGTGGCCCCAGCGTGAACATAATGACAGATGCATTTTGCAGCAAGCTGGGAGTGAATGGGTCCGACCGGCTTGTCTCCTGTCAGACGAGTCATTATTATTTTTTTTTTTTTTTGTCATTTGCTGACAGTTTGGGTCTCATGCGTTTCTCTCTTTTTTCTCCCTTTCCCCCTGCCTGGAAAAATGGCTAGGTATCTACGAGACCCCAGCAGGGACCATCCTGTACCACGCTCATTTAGACATTGAGGCCTTCACCATGGACCGCGAAGTGCGCAGAATCAAACAGGGCCTGGGCCTGAAATTCGCCGAGCTGGTGTACACCGGTGCGTGAGACCCTCCTGCCTCCCCCCCACCCCCGCCGCCGCATTCCATCCCTGGCCGGTCTCTGTGAGGTCCCCACCCACCCCCGCCAAGATGCAGGCTGAAGGTGTCGTCCCACTGCATATGGCCTGGGGTGGTCGTCCCGAAGCCCGCTCCAGCCCCGCACCTGCCAGGGCTGGCTGCTTGGTGGTGCTGTGCGCCATCCCTCGGGGTCCCCCCACAACCTCCTAGGGGCCCCGCAGCTCATTTCACAGATGAGAAGACTGAGGCTCAGAGGAGAAGAGCCCAGCAGGGTCTGACTCGGGATTGGGCTGTCTCCCAGTGCGTGAACCCAGCCCCGCCCCTGAGCCTGGCATGAGCCAGATGTTGGCCGTGAGACCACCAGGCGAGCACAGGGCCTGAGCCCAGCCGCGTGCCCAGTGCACCACGAGGAGCAGTTGGCAGGTGGCGTGAGGACCCTGGTGGGCGGCTGCTCATCTTCCAGGCGTGGAGACCGAGCCTGCGCACCACCACGTGTTGTCACAGAGATGGCGTCCAGACCTCCTGACCACATGCAGCTGTCACCTGTGGGCCCCCACACGGCAGGCCCCGAGCCCGGTCTAGCCTCTCGCCTCTTTGCCTTCAGCTTGCCGTGAGCTAAGAATCATTCTTAGACTTTTAAAAAGATTGCAGAAGGAAAACAAAATTGTGACATGCGAAAATTATAGGAAATGTCAGACGGCCCCTCCGACTGTGGGGGGAGGGGCAGCAGCTGCCCAAGGACACCCCGACACCTCTGGGGGTCTGGAGGCCGAGGCTCTTTCCTCCCATCAAACCCCCTCCCCTCTAACTCCTCTGAGGGCTTCCAGAGGCTGGGTGGTTCCTCGCTGCCGCCTTTGTTGCTGGCAGCTTTGGAGAGCCGAGCCCCCTTCCCACGTACAGACAGGTGTTTAAATACCATTGTCCCCCGCGGGCCGGGAGCGCGGCGGGATCTCGCGCTGAAAGCTGGATTTGGGTTACAGAGTGGGAGCATCGCTAAGGCAGAGCAGGCTGCCGCGCAGAGGGAGCACCTGGCCGGCGGCTCGGCACCAGGCGTCGGGGTAGAGGCCGCCGCCTCCCCTGCTCCCTCGCTGCCAGGCCCAGAGCCTGCACCTGGCCCGCGTCCTCCATCTCAGCTGCCCGTGCGGGTGGAGATGCTCATCCAGGATTTCGTGGCTGGTGAGAGGCAGCTTCGAGCCCAGGACGGGGGTGCCCTGGGGGCGCTGGGTGTCCTGGCTGCTGGAGCTGTGTCCTCCGGTCCCAAGTGAGAAACAGGGCTTGGGCAACTTCAGAGGGATTCCAACCTCAGGGAGAGGGAGGCAGTGAGGCGTGGGCAGAGCTGTGGCTCCGTTAACCTGGCCAGGCCCCTGGACAGCAGCTGCCTGTCCCTGACAGATGCGACTTGTCACCCAAGGGAGACCTGACCGTGCCCTGCCCTCAGCACTTTATGTAGCCCCCTGTGCCTCAGTTTTCTCATCTGAAGACTGGGGACAGCAACAACCTGCCCCTCGGTGGGGACTGAGTGAGCGGACGCTGGCCGAGCTCCTGGGAGGGGGCTTGGCGCAGAGAGCCGTCTCCCAGAGAGGGCTACCCACCTGCAGGGTCCCCAGGGCGGGTCAGGAGTGGGGGTCTCGCCTTGGCTGAGCCTCAGTCTCCCCCTCCTGTCAGTGGCAGGGCCCAGGCTCGGGTCCACCCAGTGCCATGTGGCTCTTCTGGTTCAGAGCTCTCCACTAGGCTGCAGTGCCTGGGGGCCCCAGGGCACAGCTGGGGAGACTGAGGCACGAGGAAGCCCCCCCCCGACCTGCACCCTGCTGCCCTGGCTTCCTCCTCTCTCCCCTTCCTGCATGCCCACATGTCCGGGTCTGGCTGAATGGGGGTCAGACACACCCCTCCTCCAGGAGCAGCCTGGTGGGACCCTGATTGCAGGACCCTATAGGGGCTCCATGGAGTGGCTCCTATGGGGCCGCAGTTCTGCTTGGTCCCCGCCCAGTTTGTCCAGCAGTAATGCAAGCCTGGAGCACAGATCCCAAGGAGATTGTCTGAAAGGATGGGTGCAGAGTGCCCCGCCAGCCTTGCAGCATGGGTGGGGGGCGGGGCGTCCCTCTAGCTCCGCCCTGGGCCCTGCCCACTGCACCTCTGCAGCAGCCTGGGGACCTGCGGGGGCCTACCCCCCACAGTCAGGTGGGCTTCCTGTCCCCTGGCCAGGCCGGGCCCACTGGGAAAAGAAACCTGAGCAGAAGACCGCAGAGGGGGCAGCAGATCCGGAGATAAAGCTCAGGTCCCGGCATCCCTGTCCTTATCGCTACCTCCATCTCCCAGCCTGGGAACTTAATGGGCTCATTATCCCAACTTCCGAAGATGGCCAAGCCCAGGATGCTGGGGGCTGGGGGTCGAAGAGGGACGTCAGTGTCCCCGCCCGGGGTGGGGATGGGGTCTCCGTTGTGTGCCGGGAGAAGCCCTGGGCTGAGTTAGGAGCACTCCACCCTAGGGTCTTCCGAGACCCCGCTGTGTGACTTCGGATAGGCTCTTTCCCTCTCTGACGGTGAGAGCCGGCATCCAAGCTGCAGACGCAAGGCACGCCGCACGGCCTGCCGGGAAAGCTGCCGGTGCCGTGAGCTCCTCAGGCAAATGGAGGGGCTGGGAGATTCTGCCACTGTCAGGGCTGGGGTAGCAACTCACGTGGTGGGATGCTGAAGAGGGAGGATCCAACCTCTCCTCTCCCTGCCCGGCCCTCCCCGCCCCTGCAAGCCCAGGACCCCGGGCTGTCTCCTTTCCCACGGGCAGCCTCAGCAGGTGTCCCCGGAGGCCTGGGCCGCCAACAATAGCCGCGACCCTGCCCTTTATCAGGGCAAGGGATCGAGCACCATCTGGCCCTGCAGCTGCCCAGGTGGGCTCACCTTCCCGGCTCCGTTTCACAGAAACCCTATGCCGGGCGCTGCCCCTCCCCCAGCCCTGGCTGCGGCCTCCTTCAGCAGAGACCGGAGAGGAAGGCGACAGCTGTCCCTTGTCTCCAAGGCCCTGAGCAGCCTGGGGACTGGGCACCTACCCCCTCCTGGCCTTTAGGGCTCTGGGGGACAAGGGTGAGGGGAGAAGGGATGAGCACGTTTCCCAGGCTCTTCCAGCCGCCCACCTGCGGCGTCCCAGCCCCACTGAGGGTGAAGCACGGAGGTTGCCGTGGGAAGCTGAGGTCCAGGGCAGGCCACTCTCCCACTGCCCATCCCGGGCACCCACACTGCTCAGCCCCGGGCACTTTGCGTCTCAGTCCTTCCTGCCTCCCCCCCATATCAGTGTCTCCCCCTCCCTGGGCCAGGGAGGGGCCCCTTCATTGCTGTGTCCTCTGACCTGTGGCACCACCCCCCCCGCTGAAGCAGTGGGCCCGTCCCCTCCTCCTGGCCCACAGGCCCCCTGCAAGGCTGCAGGACGGATCGTTTGCGAGTGCGTGTGTGCGGGAGCTCATGCGGGAACGAGCCCTTCCAGAGGCCCCGGCTCGGGGGAGGCAGGACGTTCCACTGTAACCCGGGTGCTGGGGGTGGGGTGGGGAAGCCTTCCCACACCCTCACCTTTCCTCCCCACAGGCTTCTGGCACAGCCCCGAGTGTGAGTTCGTCCGCTACTGCATCGCCAAGTCCCAGGAGCGGGTGGAAGGCAAAGTGCAGGTGTCTGTCTTCAAGGGCCAGGTGTACATCCTTGGCCGCGAGTCCCCCCTGTCTCTCTACAACGAGGAGCTGGTGAGGTAGGTGCCCCTGCCCCTCGTCCTGTCCTCCAGCTCGGCCCGCGCCTCACAGCCAGTCTTCTGACTGAGCACCTGTCGGGCCCATCGTGGGGAGACAGTCATGGAGAGTTTGGCTATCTGGGGAGAAAGATACGCCTCCAGTGCCCCCGGGACGTGGGTTAGGAAAGGTGGCAACAGTACGTGGGGGAGGGCCGAGGGCGGATACTCCAGCTGGGTATAATAATCAGGGGATGGAGGAGGCACTGCTTTGCATCGGACCTTGGTAGGAGGCGTGAATGGGTGGGGAGGAGGCACGGGAGAGGCTGGCACATCCCAGGCACTGCAGAGGGTGGGGGTGGGGAGGAGGGCCCAGCCTTAAAGGACAGGACAAGACCCCGTGTGCGTTTTCAGTCCTGAGGTCGGGCTGGGTCAGGGTGGGAGCCGGCAGGGTGGGACGCAGGGCGCCCAGTGGGAGCAGGCTGCAGGTTCTGGGACTCAAGCAGGCAGATTTGACAAACGGGAGGACTTGGGAGGGCTCAGGTGTGGGAGGGGGAGACAGGCCCTGAATCACCCTGGGCTTGGGGGCGTGGGCACGGCCGCTGTGTTCGGGAGCGTCCTCTGGGTTTTCCCAGGAGAGCCGTCCAATCGGCCGTTGAGCTCACGAGTGGAGGAGCGCCCAGGGTTGAAGGTGCTAGAGAGGCACAGGTGGGGACAGCCTGGGGGGGGGGGGGGATGCAGAGGGCGTGTGCGGGGCCGTATGAGTGCCCGGTGAGCGTGGAGGGCCCCGCCCCTGTGGGTGGGGTCAAGGTCGCGGTCGCGGTTGCGTATCAGCCTCACCTGGGTCTACATCGGAGACAGTGCAGTGGGGTGTCTCCTGGGGAGGTTACCTGACCCCACAAGAGGTGGGGGCAGGGGGCCTGGGCCCGGCCTCGCTCAGGCCGAGACCAGCTGGGAATTCAAGTACGAGTTTTGTTTGGCAGTCAATATTATTTTTTTTCCTTTGCCTTCTCTCGGCGCTTCCATCTTTCCAAACACTTTCTAAGCCATAAATATCACCGAATCAGTTTAGATCAGTCGGGGTAAATGTCAAATTATCTTCTCTCTTTCTCTCTCTGGCTCTCCCTGCCCTCCCCCTCCAAATCAGCAGCCTCTAATAATCCGTCCAACCCTTCATTAAGCCTCGCAGTCTCCCTCGGGGAGATTAAATGAATAAAGTAAAAAGGGAATGGGGGGAAAGGAGAGAAAAGCGGGAGCATTTATTCTCACTGCGTCTCCGACCATTTCCCTTTCTTTCTGATTTCTACATCGCTGACTTGAAAGCCCTTGAGTGGCAGCGTCACAGGGACCAGCGAGGAAGCCTCTCGAGGTGGCAGAACTGGAAATGCCGTGGCACAGTAGGTAGAAAGTAACGTAATTATAGAGCAGGTCAGAGCCACTCGAATGAGCAAAAATAAAAGCACAGAGTTCTCTGCAGACCGTCAGGGGAGGTAAAAAAAAAAATCATTGTGAGCTCGGTACCCACCTTCTCCCCCACCCCAGAGCTCACTTTTAAAACCACCTTTTCCGCTTCCTGAGAAAGCCCCTCGCGCCGCTCGCCGGCCTCGGGGCGCTCGTCTGTGCCTTGGCTGGCGTCGGCAGGCGCTGCTGGGGCAGCTGCAAGGGCCGACCTGGAGGACAGCCCGGGGGAGCCGGCTCTGACGGTGACACCCGGGATGGGGGCGGGGGGCGCACCTGCCTTCTCCCTGGGCCAGGACGGGGCCCTTGCAAGCCGGGGGGTGAGGCTGGGTTCCAAAGCCTGTTGGATGGTTTGTGTGGGGGTCATGTTAAGCCTTATGTCCCCCCCAACTCTGCCGCCCACAGCAAGTTCTGTTAGACCCAGCCTTCCCTAAGCGCCTGCTGTACCTGGAGGAAGTCGCTGGCGCTTGGCTATGGGTGGCCGGAGTGCCTGAGCCCTGGAGGGGGAGGAGCAGCGGGGGCTGGGGGTGGCTGCACGCTCAGCTTCAAGGCCAGATGAAGGTCAGGGCCAGGCCGTGGGGGCAGGGGCCAAGACCCCATTATTCTTGTGAGAAGTCCAGAGTCTGTGAAAGCACAGGCAGAGGCCAGCCTCGGGGCCAGGGAAAGAGCAGCCCCGCCCTGCCCCATCTCACCTCTCTGGGGAGGGCTCCGGGGGACAGGCCAGCTCTTTGTCATGGAGAACCTCGAGACTGCTTTGTCCCCAGGCTGGACGAAGACAAGGGGCTGATTGAGAGCAGGATGTGATGAGGGACCCCTCCTCACACTCAGAGGCCCAGAGTGAGGGCACCTGCAACCACAGGCCCTGGGTGCTGGCACCCGCAGCAGCAGCAGAGCCAGTGGGCTGTGGCCTGCTTGTCTGGTCTTGTCCCTGCTCCCCTCTGCACCTGCTAGGGCCTGGGCGGCAGGTAGCAGGCGCTTGGCACATGCCGGAATAAATGATGAATGGATGATGCGGGTGGAGCCAATGATGACCTCAGAGCCCTGGTCCCCAGAGGTCAGACGGATGTCCTGGGCATGCCCACTCACCCCCTAGGCGCTGCAATGGGGAAGGCCGAGCTCAGACCCAAGGCTTGAGGGATTGCAGGGGTGGGGCAGCTCAGTGGGAAGAGCCCAGCAGGCGAAGGCTGCGGTGCCTGGAGAGTGGGAGTGATTGTCCTGCTGGGGGCAGCAGCAGCTGCCCCGGAGACGGCTCCTGGTGACCCTGTGGGGCACTCGTGCACTGGGAGCTGGGGCTGCTGTGCGGGTGGACAGCGCCATCTGGCCACTGCAACCCACGCGCCTGGTGCCTCTCGACCCTCCAGGCCAGGGCACTCAGAAGGGCTGGTCCTGGACCCTCCTCTCTGAGCCCACCACAGGCCCGAGGGCAGAACTGGTCCAGATGGCACGTGCTGGCTTGTGCCAGCTGAGCCAGGGCCAACCTGGGCACCAACTGCAGATTGCTGGGGATTCCCGTGGGGCCGTCCCGGTCCAGTGCTCCTGAGCTGGACAGAAACGCAAGGCCAAGTGTGGGCGGGGCTCGGTGGCGCCCCGTGTGGGGCTGTAGGGGATGGCCTGGGCGGCTGCGAGGGCACTGTCCCCAGCCTCGGGGCTCCTTCCCACGCCCGCCCGTCTCTCCTCACAGCATGAACGTGCAGGGAGATTATGAGCCCATCGATGCCACCGGCTTCATCAACATCAACTCACTCAGGTGAGAAGCCCGGGGCCCCCGGGGTGGCACACAGGCTCTGATGCCACCTGGACCTCTGCCGCCACCCTGCCCTCGCTGAGCCGTGTGCCTGTCCCTCTGCCTGCCCATCCCCCGCCCCTGCTCTGCACCCTCGGCAGCACCACGGAGGGTCCTGAGCATTTGGGCCCGCGTCCCCAGGGCTGACCCTCACTCACCTCCGTGCCCTCCAGCTGTAGGGGCTCCGGGCAGGTGTTCGGGTCACGTCCCTGAGCTGTAGGTCCCACGTGGCCCTGGGGGTGGCTCATGCTGTCTGTCCGCTCTCAGTCCTGGGGTCAAGTCCTACTTCTGACGACCCCTCCCAGGCTCCCAGAGTAGCCCTGCACCTGCTCACAGGGGCAGTAAATGCTTCGTGGGAGCCTGTCGGGGCTCCTGCCTGCAGCCTGAGCTAGGGTGGCCATTCGTCAGCAGTGACCACCAGAACCAGGCCCAGAGTGGTTAAGTGACTTGCCCAGGGTCACACAGCTGGGAAGTGGTGGAGCTGAGTCAGAGAGCCTCTCCTTCCAGCTCATCCGCAGGCCCCCTCTCTTGGGGTGTGCAAGAAGAAGCAAGCCTGTTTCCTTGTCCTTGGCACAGATCCATCCCTTTTCCCAGAGCCAGTCTCCATCCCTGGAGCCTCCTCGGACCCCAGCCCGACTGCCTGCCCCCCCACCTGGCCCCCTGTTTGTGTTTTACGACTCTCTAAACCCTTTTAAATGGCCCAGGACACACTGGGTTTTCATAATGGTTTCTCCATTGGTCCCATTGCCAGTTAAATGCTTTGTCTGCAACAATGGCAAACAATGCCCCCCCCCAAGGTAAATTAATTACATTATCCTGATTGGAGGGCGGGAGGGGCCCGGCCGGAGAGCGAAGAGAGAAAGGCAGAGGCAGACATCGCCGGAGCAGCTGCCCCGCTTGCGCCAGAATTAATTGAACAGAGTGCGTGTCGCTATTGTTCATTCGCATTTTCCTTTGTTTTGAATCTGGTTCACAGACTGAAGGAGTATCACCGTCTTCAGAGCAAGGTCACCGCCAAATAGAGGGGCTGACAATGCGGGGCCAGGGCCTCCGCCGGCCGCCCGCACCCATTGTCCCGGTGGCAGTGACGGCGTCGACGGTGACGCGCTCTCCCCGCCCGCAGCGTCGTGGGGCTGCCTGGCTCCGGCTCTGTTCCTTGGTCCCCCGTAGGCTGCGAAAGTGGTCATGGGGGGCTGCTGCCGTGGGAAGCCATAAAATGACAGCTAAGAAAAGACACATTAGTCTGTTGTTTCTTTATTCCCCTGAGGGGTGTGTGTGTGTGCACATGTGTGCACGTGTGTGCATGTGTGTGCATGCATGTGCATGTGTATATAGTATATGCATGTGTGTATTGTGAGTGCATTGCACGTGTGTGTGAACACATGTGTGTATGTGTGAATGCACACGTGTGTATTGCCTGGGGGGTGTCAATCACGCTTTCCCTAGCCTGATCCTTGTGTTTTCTGATTTCAGGCTTGCCAAAGACCCCGTTGGCCAGAGAACCTAGGGACTGACCCCTCTCCCTCCATCCCAAACTAGCAATCTAGAGGTGCCCCTGGGGACCCTGGCTCAGAGCCTGGGGTTTTGTCACCAGCTGTGTGTCCCCGTGGCCTGCGCCAGGGAACCAGGGAGAGTTGAGGTGGCAAGCTGCGAGAATGTTCAACCTGCAGACCTGTCTCTGGGAACCACCTTACCAAGGCCCTGCCAGAGACAGAGCCCAGCTTGACCAACCCCCTACGCTGGGTGTGTGTGTGTCACCATTGTGAAACTACAGGCTTTTTTTTTTTTTTCAAAGATTTGTTTATGTGTTTATTTGAAAGTCAGAGTTACACAGAGGAGAGGCAGAGGTGGGGGGGGGGGGGGAGAGAGGTCTTCCATCCACTGGCTCACTCCCCAGTTGGCTGCAATGGCCGGAGCTGTGCCAATCCGAAGCCAGGAGCCGGGAGCTTCCTTCCAATCTCCCACAGGTGCAGGGGCCTGAGGACTTGGGCATCTTCCACTGCTTTCCCAGGCCACAGCAGAGAGCTGGATCGGAAGAGGAACAGCTGGGACTTGAACAAGCACCTATATGGGAAGCTGGCACTGCACGTGGTGGCTTTATCCGCTTCGCCACAGCGCTGGCCCTGCTAAATACCATTTTTGAAAGATTAAAAACAGGAATGTGGGGTGCGTGTCACGGTGCGTGGGCCAGGTCATTGCTTGGTCTGCCCTTCATGCTCATCCAGTCCCGGCACCTCTGCTCCCGATCCGGCTCCCTGCTGAGGCACCTGGGAGGCAGCAGATGATGGCCCAAGTGCTTGAACCCACATGGGAGCCCTTCAACTCGATGAAAATCACTAAATAAGCTGGCGCCGCGGCTCAACAGGTTAATCCTCCGCCTAGTGGCACCGGCACACCGGGTTCTAGTCCCGGTCGGGGTGCCGGATTCTGTCCCAGTTGCCCCTCTTCCAGGCCAGCTCTCTGCTGTGGCCAGGGAGTGCAGTGAAGGATGGCCCAAGTGCTTGGGCCCTGCACCCCATGGGAGACCAGGAGAAGCACCTGGCTCCTGCCTTCGGATAGGTGCGGTGCACCGGCTGCGGCGGCCATTGGAGAGTGAACCACCGGCAAAGGAAGACCTTTCTCTCTATCTCTCTCTCTCACTGTCCACTCTGCCTGTCAAAAAAAAAAAAATCACTAAAGAAATGTCTTTTTAAAGAATGTGTTTTATACATATATGTGTGTGTGTGTGTGTCCATATATTTCATTCCACTGCACAAATGGAAGTCTCTATCATTTTCCTTTTATGGAAGAACTTATTTATTTATTTATTTTTGATAGGCAAAGTTAGACAGTGAGAGAGACAGAGAAAAAGGTCTTCCTTTTTCCATTAATTCACCCCCCCAAATGGCCGCTACGGCCGGTGCTGCGCTGATCCGAAGCCAGGAGCCAGGTACTTCTCCTGGTCTCCCATGGGGTGCAGGGCCCAAGCACTTGGGCCATCCTCCACTGCACTCCAGGGCCACAGCAGAGAGTTGGCCTGGAGGAGGAGCAACTGGGACAGAATCCAGCACCCTGATCGGGACTAGAACCTGGGGTGCCGGTGCCTCAGGCAGAGGATTAGCCTAGTGAGCCTCGGCGCCAGCCTATGGAAGAACTTTTAAAAATACTATATATAGCTATATATATAGTATATATATATAGATAGATAGATAGATAGATAGATAGATAGATATAGCTATGCCACCAGACGCCCACGTCCCATATCAGAGGGGCTGGGAGCAAGTCCGCCCTCTGCCCCCTGATCCAGCTCCCTGCTGAAGCACCTGGGAGGCAGCAGATGAGGGTCCAAGTGCCTGGAGACCTGGCTGGAGTTCCTGGCCCAGCTCCAAGTATTGAGGCGATTGGGGAGTAGACCAGATGGATCGATCTCATCACTCTGCCTCTTAAGTAAACAAATGCAATCAGATTCATGGTCCATTCCTCCGATGGGGGGGTTGTAGGTTTGTGACTAAGGGTCGAAGTTCATTTTTTAGACTGATGTTTAGTTATTCCAGTACGTTTGTTGAAAAATCTGTCTCTTCCCATTGACTCCCGGCAGCATTTGCATGCAGACCGACTTCTCGTCTGAGAATGGGCTGTTTTGGACTGTATTCCACTTCATTGCTCTTCTTGTCTGTCGTACCCCCAGAACACACCCTGCCGTGACTCCCACAGCCTTTGGGAGCCGTGAAGTGGCAGGCGAGCCCAGCCTCACTCTCCTCCAGAGCTGCCGTGGTGGTCCGGGCGCTGAGCCTCCCCACGTAGACGTCGAAGACATCGTCGGTCTCTGCACAGTCTGCTCGGGCTCTTCACCGGGACTGCATCCAGGCGACAGATCAGTTTGAGAACTGTCGTCTTGCAATTCAGGAACACAGCACAGCTCACCAGTGGTTTAGGTTTCATTTGATTTCCCATTAAAATGTGCTATAGGGTCAGGCGCTGGGGCGCAGCAGGTTAATGCCCTGGCCTGAAGCGCCAGCATCCCATATGGGCGCCGGTTGGAGACTCGGCTGCTCCACTTCTGATCCAGCTCCCTGCTGTGGCCCCGGAAGGCAGTGGAGGATGGCCCAAGTGCTTGGGCCCCTGTACCCGCGTGGGAGACCCGGAAGAAGCTCCTGGCTCCTGGCTTCGGATCAGCGCAGCTTCAGCCATTGTGGCCAACTGGGGAGTGAACCAGTGGATGGAAGACTCTCTCTCTCTCTCTCTCTCTCTCTCTCTCTCTCATTTGAGAGACAGGGAGACAAAGAGACAGACAGAGAGAGCTGTCAACCACTGGTTTATTCCCCAGATGGCCACAGCAGCCAGGGCTGGACCAGGACAAAGCCATAATCCAGGACCCCGTCCAGGCCCGTGGTGTGGGTGGCAGGCGCTGCATCATGGCCGCATCTAGGGTCTGCCTTGGAAGGAAGCTGGAGCCAGCAGCTGGCGCCCACAGCCACGCCCAGGCGCTCTGATGTGGGGAGCGGGCACCGCACTTTAACCTCCAGGCCAGCACCCGCCCGAGCCTCCCTCGCGCTGCCGCCGACCCAGCCGTCAGGTGCGCTCACTCCGGGCGTCGTCTTCTCCCGACTACTCTGTTCATGGTTTGTGGAGTTGGGACTGTGGGTTTTTATTGGATTTGGAACATTTTCTGGCAGAATGGTCTCTGACTCCCCTCCCCGTTGCTGGCACCTGAATTCCACAGTGCCACAGGCCCCTTGCACTGTCCTGGGAGTCAGAGGCTCAGTCCTTCATCCTTCCTCCTCCTCTCTCGTGTGGTCTGTTCTCGGTCTGAGCTTTATTTCCTTAAAAAATGTATTTGCTTTATTTGAAAGTCAGAGTTACAGAGAGAGATATATATATATATAGAGAGAGAGAGGTTTTCTTTTTTCTTTTTTTTTTTTTGACAGGCAGAGTGGACAGTGAGAGAGAGAGAGACAGAGAGAAAGGTCTTCCTTTGCCGTTGGTTCACCCTCCAATGGCCGCCGCGGCCAGCGCGATGCGACCGGCGCACCGCGCTGATCCGATGGCAGGAGCCAGGAGCCAGGTGCTTTTCCTGGTCTCCCATGGGGTGCAGGGCCCAACCACTTGGGCCATCCTCCACTGCACTCCCTGGCCACAGCAGAGAGCTGGCCTGGAAGAGGGGCAACCGGGACAGAATCCGGCGCCCCGACCGGGACTAGAACCCGGTGTGCCGGCGCCACAAGGCGGAGGATTAGCCTAGTGAGCCGCGGCGCCGGCCGAGAGAGAGGTTTTCCATCCGCTGGTTCACGCCCCAACCGGCCACAATGGCCAGAGCTGGGCCAGGCTGAAGCCAGGAGCCAGAAGCTCTGTCTGGGTCTCCCTGGGTTGGAAGTGGAGCAGCAGGACTTAAACTGGCGCCCATAACGGTTGCCGGAGCTGCAGGTGGTGGCTTAGCCCACTGTGCCACAGCGCCAGCCCTCAGCCTTCTCTTGGGAGGCAGTTCAGTCACTTATATATTAGTTCAGTCTTTCTGAGATTTTTTTTTTAAGATTTATTTATTTATTTGAGAGGCAGAGTTACAGCGAGAGAGAGAGAGAGAGAGAGAGAAAGAAAATCTTTTATCTGCTGGTTCACTCCCCAAATGGCCACAATGGCTGGAGCTGTGCTGATCTGAAGCCAGGAGCTTCCTCTGGGTCTCCCACGCGAGTGCAGGGGCCCAAGCACTTGGGTCATCTTCCACTGCTTTCCCAGGCTCATTAGCAGGGAGCTGGATCGGAAGTGGAGCAGCCAGGACACAAACAGGTGCCCCTATGGGCGCCGCAGCCAGAGGCTTAGCCCAGTACACCACAGTGCTGCCCCCTTGAGATTTATTTTTAACTCCTTAGGGCCGTGCTGTCTTTATTCTAGATGGACTGTCACTCCGCGTCTCGGCTGTGATCAGCTGGGCGTTATCTCGATGCTGGCTGTGCTAAGCCAGGTCTCCCCTCTCTGGGTGGCAAACACAAGGTCCCCAGCCTTGCAGGGGCTCCCAGGCATTTCCTGTCCTTGGGATCTGTCCGTGTTGGCCCCCAGGACGTCCTCTCTGTGCAGGACCAGATCGCGCCCCCAGAGCCTCAGCCGGACGCGTACGAAGATGCTCACGTCACGTCACAGTAGCGGTTCGAGTCCCGGCTGCTCCACTTCCCATCCAGCTCCCTGGGAAAGCAGGGGAAGATGGCCCAAGTGCTTGGGCCCCTGCACCATGTGGGAGGCCCAGAAGGAGCTCCTGGCTCC